GTACACACAGTATGAGGCACAGATAATGGGGTACAAACAGTATGAGGCACAGATAATGGGGTACAAACAGTATGAGGCACAGATAATGGGGTACAAACAGTATGAAGCACAGATAATGGGGTACAGATAGTATGAGGCACAGATAATGGGGTACAAACAGTATGAGGCACAGATAATGGGGTACAGACAGTATGAGGCACAGATAATGGGGTACAGACAGTATGAGGCACAGATAATGGGGTACCGACAGAATGAGGCACAGATAATTGGGTACCGACAGAATGAGGCACAGATAATGGGGTACCGACAGACAGGGGTAGCAAGGTACAGACAGTATGAATCACAGAATATGGGGTACAAACAGGATGAAGCACAGAACATGGAGCACAGATAATGGCACAAAGACAGCATAAAACACAGCTCTGATAGATTCCTGTGGCTGCAGAGCTTCTAGCACATCATCCATTTTGACTGTCTTGTCTGGCCTTTAGCTTAGGAGTTTATCAGCTGGCTGGAACGCAGAGCCAGTATCGAAAGAATGGGTGTCTGCCAACCCCAAAATAACAGCAAGGCACTGTCACACAGCACTGTGATTTCTCACAAAGCCACACCGGGTTGCTGCGTCTCCAAGCGCACTCTGAACTGCAGAGAACGAGACTGAGGGGAATTTGTGGTCTGTTGGGCATTGGTATGTTTGACTGACTGTTTCTGCTTTTCTGTTGGGTGTGAGCCAAGGATTTTTGGTGCATAGAGCTTACCGCATTTCCCTGTGTCTCATGGGTAACAGGAACCTGACTCCATCCTTAAAAGCACCTGCGCTCCCACGGGTTACGGTTGCTGAGCAACCTTTCTGATCAGCGACCTGCTCTAACTAAATAATTCATTAATTGTGTTTATTGCTGAGAAACAAAATGTACTACTCAGAATAAGGGGGGGGGGGGTACCAGTCAGCTTGTATGTGTGTCTAATTATATTTTTGTTAGCTTTTAAATAACACAGTACTGGGTCTGAATGCACATACTGAGAATTTTTGGTAACACTTTACATTAAGTGCACCTTCATAATGCATTCATAGAACATTCATAAGCAGCATGCAAGTACATCTTAACATCCTAACATCCCTTAACAGCTTTAATATACATTAATAACAAACATTACATGATTATACAATTATAATGTTTGTTATTATTATATAATGTTTATGATGTTTATGAATGTTTCATGAATACTTAATGAATACATTATGAAGGTGCAATGAACATTTTATGAATGCAATATAAAGGCATTATGAAAGTACAGTTAATGTAAAGCGTTACCAATTTTTTTTTTATAACGTTGTGAGAATTATACAAAAGTAGCCGTTAAGTGGGTATTTTATCTTTTAACATGGTGGGTTATTTTTATGTAACGTACGCAAGATTTTACAGCAGATTTTTAATAAGAGAATTAATAGGAAGTTGGGCCTTTGCAGTTAATGTGGAAGGAGTTTGTGTAAGTTATTAGAATGCTGTGAGTTTTATGAATCATAACAAAGCAATAATTAGGTCCACACTCTATACATTGAAATATATAACTAATAACATTCCAGAAATGGTAACCAGGACCCAAGTCTGTATCTAGTGTCCATAACTAGCCACTCATTCCAGAGTTGTAGTTTAACAGCAGGCATAACTTGTAATACTTGACCTCCTGGCTGTTGGCTTTGGTTTAATGCCTGAGTGTAAAGGATATTGTCTTTTGTGTCGAAGTGTTGTGTGCTTAATTTCTCTGCCCATCTACAGTAGATCATTCACATCTCAGCTGAAACCTACAACCCTGGGAGGTGGGGCTGCTTTTATTGTCAGTCCAAGGGTCGGTGTTTTGAATGAGTTTTCCCTCCATTGTCTCAGTGTATTTGCATCTGTTTCACCTGCAGCAACCTCAGCTCAGCTGGGCCTCTCACCCGCACAGAATTGCGAGACTGCGACAGCCTCATTGATGCACTGGTCCATTTCGTGCAAACGACCATCGCTGACCACAATGCCGACGACAAGGTAACACCATACTGAAACTGCTACAGCACAAGCATGAGCTGTAGCAAAGCAAGTGGCTCGGCAGGATCAAAGTGTGCACATGGGTGGGATTGCATAGGTGCGGCAAATGGAACCATCCGTACTGAAGGCTGACATGCAAATAATCTGAAATGTGACATGCCCAAACAAATTCGATGTTGGTAGCCAGTACAACAGACTGGCACTGTGATGGTGGGAAATATTGAAGTAGAATTAGGGTAGATGGTGACGATGTCCTCAGAGTGTACATTTCAATTCCATTCACATGCAGGTTACGATGCTGTTATGCTTATATATTAAAGCAGAGCTTGCCCTGTCGTCCTGGTAAATGGGTCAAACCTTTGGCCTAATATATCATATTATATTAGTGCAGTAAAATAAGGGAATCGGCAGTGCGACTTACTCCTCCTGTCTCCAGCAGGGAGCAGTGACTCCTCATGCACATTCATGGGCTGTTAAAACCCCCAGTGTCACTTTAACATAACAAGCCAAGAGCAGTTCAATTCAAGCTGGATTTATTTGTTTATCAGACTTCATCCAGATATAAGCTGGAACCAAGATTGTAAGTTTAAAAAAACAGTGGTCGCAGGGCAGATCTGATATGTGTGTGTTTGTGTGTGTTGAGCTCTAAGTAATCTCTTGAAAAAGCAGCAATAATTAATAGAGAATACACCTAAATTTAGTTATATTTTTTTTAAATGTAATTAAAAGTAATCAGACATCCATCCCACAAAAGAAAAGTACTGAATTTTAAGTTCATTGACAATTAAGGGATGTAGACCGCAAAGACCAAACTCTTCCTTTCAGACCGATGAGGGACTCTGTGCCACTAGGCATGACTGCCAAAATACATGAATCATGCCTAACGCCGTCATTCCACTTTCAGAGCGTCTACAGAAAACTACTGTTTTCAGTAAGACAATTTGTAAATACCCCATATTCCCAGAGCCATTTGGAGTCTGTCCCAAGAAACACAGGGCACACCCTGGATGGGATGCCAGTCCATCACAGGACATGCACATGCAAGCACTCACACACACCATTGTAATGAATGCATTGCAAGACTTTTTAAAAAATTAACCCCTTGTTGCATACGTGAAGAAAAATCACAGAAGTGAATGCGACTATTTTCTGCTAGTAGGAAAAACAACCTGTTATAATATGTTTTGTTACAGCTTGACAGTGGGGGAATCAGCATGATTCAGTCATCCTCAGCTGTGAAAACGGCTTCTTACACCCACTTTTCTGCTCCCAGTCCACAGAGAACTGCGTCTGCATCCTGCACAACCTGTCATACCAGATGGATGCGGAAAAATCCGAAAGCCCGCCTGCTCCGCAGCAGGACCCGGCCCCTCTCATTAAGGTGCCGGGCTGCTTTGGATCACGCAGCAAAGAGATTGCGCAGGCCACACCGGTAGGGGCTGCGACCCTGCTCCGCCACAATGCCGTTCCAGGGTGTGGGACATATGACACATCTCAGACTTTTGGCACACAGTGGTCTGAGTGCCAGTTTACTCGCTTTACTCATAGCTTTCATGTGTATTTTAAGTTGAAAGCTAGGCTGGTTGTTCTGTGTCAGGATGCTGGTGAGCAGTGCCACACAGGATTAAGATCAGCTAACCAATATTCCTTTGAACCGAAGTAATGCTGATGCATATCTGAGGATTTTCTGACACGCTTATTTCCCTGGTATCCAAACATTTAAACTGTTTTTACCCTTGACAACAAATCAGGTCTTACAGGAAGCCGTGCCACCATTGTAGAATGGAATAAAGCTAGTAAAGCCAACAAATATTGAGAAATTATTGTGTGTTTTGGAACATATAAGTGGCATTTTTCTTTTTAACTGGCTGATCTTCTGGCAAGGCAGTGACTAAGTCTGCTGTTCCAGCAGCTCCCCCTGTCGGACGAGAAGAAAGAAGAGACTAACCCCCAGGGCAAGCAGTGGCTGTCAAGTTCCAATGCAGTGCGCATGTACCTGTCGCTCGTGGCCCGCAGCAGTCGCAAATGCACACTGGAGGCGGCCACCGGGGCACTGCTGAATGCCACTATTGGCATCGGGACGGTAACCGTAACAACGGCATTCTACATAAACACGAGCTGACCTAGGAGTATTCCCAGAGTGCTCTTGTTCACAAAACAGTCAGGAAAACAGGACATTTAGAGGAATTTCCTATTTAATCCACACCCACTGCTGACAGGTGTTTAATTAAGCACACGGTTATGCAATCTCCTGCAACAGACATTATCAGCAGAATGGGTGAGGTTAGTGGCGTTCTAGTTGGCACCATCATAGGACGCTATGTTTACAAGCAGTTGGTTCTCCACATTTCTGACCTGCTAGAGCTGTCCTGGTAAAACACAAGTGAAGTGATTGTGGAGGACAAAACGTCTGGGTACAAGTTCAGTTGTTAAGTGGTCAGACATACAAGCTCACAGAAAGGGACCTGATCACTCGACATCAATATCCAGCCTGAATGGCAGCAAATCCAGCCATGTTCCAGCATCTAATGGAAACATTCTAAATAGTTTAGCAGGTGTCATGCTAACACAGCAAAGGCAACAGTCAACAGTCCTTACAAGTTCATTGCTGCATTGTGCGTAAGCAGTCAGCTCAGCATGGGTGTCTCTGGCAGATGCAGCAAAACATGGCCCAGACCATCGTGAAGACGGAGAAGGGCCTAGAGAATCTGAAGAAATTGCTGTTCAACCCAGAGCACAGCGTGAGGAGAGTGGCGCTGTCCTTGTTGAATAACATCTCTCACTACCAAGTGCTGCACGACGAATTGGGTGAGTTTCCCAGCCTGATGGACAGCCCCACATTGCTTGCATATTACTATCATGGGATTTTACAGTTATTTATCAGATGATTTTGTCCAAGAAAGCTCAGCGTTATAGAGCCAGGCCAGCATTTGGGGTTAAGGGCTTCAAAGGCCTAAAAGTTGACAGTCAAAATATAGGCAGATGTGTTTAACCTTTGAAGGGATTTTGGCATTTTCATCCATGTAGGGTGTCAGAGGTTATATATGACCCCTAACACATGGGTCGGCGACCTGTGGATCGCGAGCCACGTGCGGCTCTTCTCATAACGATAGACGCATTCACATTTTCACGTCGTAACATATTATGATAATACTATCGTAATGATAAATAATTTATTTATAGGTTAATAGTTTTCGTTTAGATATTTCTTTAGCTATATGTCAATGAGGCAGTCCGTCGCACACTTCTGTTACGTCTTAACTGTTAACATCTTCCTCAAAGTTATTCGCTAAAACGAGATTACCTCTCTGGTTAAATGGTACAGTATGCTTTCTTAAGCACCTGAGATTGGATGTACGCTTTATTGGGATTCCTAATTCTTTCATATACTTTTTGTAGTAAATCATCTTCGTAAAAATGATATTTTCTCCGATTTACATATTATTCCCAGCTGAGATGGGAGTGGTGAGGACATTTTACGCAGCTCGGTCAGCAAAGTTATAGTACTGAAGTGGAGAGTGAAGGGCAAACGACTACAGAGCCAGACGAAAGGAGGGATGAGAGTGAAGACTACAGAACTAATCAGTGTTGTACTGTTAGTCATCTAATCGTCGTTGTTACGTGCCTGAGTGATGTAAACCGGAGATATCCCCCTCCCCCTCAAAATAGTTTTTCTATAATAGTTTTTGTAAGTACTTTTATTTTTGTGTTAAACGCATACAGTATATACAAATATCACGTTAAAAAATCGTATTTCAATCCCCCTTCTTTGCCCATTGTGGGTCTTTGTAAATCTTGGGTCAGACATTTAGGAGAAAATGGCTCTTTGCTTTAAAAAGGTTGCCGACCTCAGCCCTAACACATCAGGAAAGCCTGAAATATGTTATCATCTTATTTCAGCATTAAGAACTGACCCATTTTTTAAAATTTGAATACCTTTCTGACCACAGAATCGACGTCAGCGCACTACTTTCACCTCTATCTTACCCATGTGTCACCGGAATAGATGAAAATAGCTATTTTCACCCAATAAAAATTTATTTCATGCCTAAAATGTGATGACTTGTGCTTTTTAATAAATTTTGATCTCTTTAGGGCAATTTGGCACATTTCGTTCATGGTTGATTAAGTTCAAGGGTGTTTTCATGGATGAAGAGCACAAGCTCCACCCTAATTTATGCAAATCCAATTCAAATAAATTGGGGATCATGTTTAGACACTTATAAAAAGTATTCCTGCCACTGTGACTGTATCTGCACCTGCATTGTGTCTCCATAGGTTGGACCACACTCCACATGCTCCATTTTTGTAAGAGAAAATTAGAGCAGTAGGATAACCAGTGACCAATAACCAAACAACTTTTTCGGCTCTGCAGTGAAACAGGTCTTACCTGACCTGATCAGCATGCTGCCAAGCCCAGGGTCCAGTGCAGAAGTGCCCATGGAGATCACCGTGCTACTGTGTCGCATCCTTACCAACCTGAGCCTGTACAATAGTGAGCATGTGCGAGCTATCTCCAACCATGGTGGCCTGGCGAAGATCATGGACATCAGCTCCGTGAAGAATGGGTACAAGCCGCCTTTCTGCAGGCCCTGTGCCGCCAGCGCGATCACCATGTTCTTTGGCAATCAGTGCTAATGCTAACCCTTCCACCACTGCCTGTGTTTCAGGATGAGCCCTTCCAAGGCCAGCGATGCTGCTTCAGCCCTGCTCCAAGCCATGTGGGAACACAAAGACCTGCGTCTTTCATTCATCAATGTAAGGAGAATCAGGGAAATGGGATAGCGGATAGCCACAGCCCTTCTGAACTGGGAATTAAGTGGTGGTGCTGTAAGTGCTAACAAAAATGCTAATTATGTCCTAGTATCCAGTTCATCTATATGTAAATAACAAATGACCGATGCAAAAGTTATAGTTTTCTGTGTCTGGAATTATTTATGAGCTACTGTTATGCAGAAAAGATGGACAAAATACTGCCACTCAGTGGATATAGAGGAGTCTGTTTGAAAAAGGTTAAAGATGCATTGCCGGTAATAAACAGGCAAGTGTTAGGTGTGGGAATCTGTTCTTGCTAACCCCTGTATCCTCTGATCCATTCCTGATTTGCTGTACGACGGCCTGACAAACTCTAAAACCGTTGATGATGGTGAATGGGACGTTTTCACACAATGAAACCCATTGTGCCAAAGGCTGTTTCCTTTCCCTTGTGGGTATAACACAAGCCACTCACTGCCACCATCAGGCTTCCTGTGCTGTCGGTTTTTGTCCTGGTGATTTTATCATTCATTGGTGGATTTTGTGGGCAGGTTGTTTGAATTCCAACTATTTACTTTACTTCCTGGCATTCCTACTTTTGTTGTCAGTATTATCCGATTCTGGCTATCCAATCATGTCAATGTCTTGTGTAAACCAGAACCTTGTAGATGACATTTTAATTAATTTGGTTTGGCTTCAAAGGTGATAAGGTAAGGTAGCACTTCATATTATCGACATTTTGGGTGGGTATCTTGCAGCACTCCATGGGCCAGTTCTTTACCTTCGTCTCAGTGCTGCCCCCTGTGTTGTGGAAGCCGACTCTCATGTAAGCTGCCATTCATGCAGTTTCAACTGTTTTAACCACTGTATAGGCTGGATACAAGAAAGCAGATTTCATCAACGGTGGGACAAAGAAAGCCATCAGTTTACCATGGAATGCTGAAAAAACAAAAATGGACAAGAGGCTCCCAAAAAAGGCTGAGCAGATGCCACCTAGTGGCAATGGAGAGCGCAGCAACTGATCCAGCAGCTTCCGGCCAATTTCTATTCTTTGCATTAATGCCCTCAGTGCCTGAATGAGTTCAGTTATTTGTTACTGACAATGGAGAAATATAATTTGCAGAAGCAAAATATAATTGTGAAAGAGTGAAGTAGGTCATCCCTGGGAGAGAGATGATATTTTTGCATGTTTGAAAACTCTTTATATTAATGAAGTTTACAGCTGAACAGCTTTAACTGTCAGTTTGTTGATAAATTGCACATGTAAATATTGTATATCCGGGACTGTTCCCTGTATCAGATTGTACCAGGCCAAATATCACGCACCTGCAGCCAGCACAAACATACAATGTTGTAATAAAACTTACCCAACCATATTTCACAGCCCACGGAGACAGCTATACAGCCTGAGCAGATGGGCCACTCACTTTACACAAACTCACAATATAAGCTTCCCAATAAAGAGAGAGTGTTTAAGTTAGTGGCAGTGACAGGAGTGTGACCTCCTGACCTTGGTATGAATGTGTGGGCCAGAGAAGCAGCTCTGATCTGTGATGCGATAGGTAACTCAGTGGAATAAGGATCTGTTATGTCTTGAAGGACCTGGGTTTGAATCCTGTGGCCAGCAGAGTGCCCATGTTGCTGTTGGGCCCTTGAGCGAGACCCTTAATGAAAACTAAAGAATTCTTCTGTTGTCGCTTATGTAAATAAATTATAAACTAAAAATGTTTCAATTAATAAAGTGACTTATCCAGAGTCATGATGCAATGGGCTCATCTTACTGTGCATATGGCTTTTACCATATCAGAATGTGCCCCCCATTTTTTATGTTAATCAATACTACAGCTGCATAGTATTGATATGCTGGATCGCATAGCTTTCTCACACAATACCCTCCACTTATCTGTAATGGGCAGGAACAAGTATGAGAAATGTGATGTTCTGAAATTCTGCCCGAGTCACCTTTTCATTTTAAAATCCAAATAACTGTCCCATTCCTTAAGGAGTGGGGTTCCTGGCTCCACCATGTGGAATAATTATGTACTGCTTTGCCCTGAACTTCATGGGTGTGCATCGGGGAAGAATTGTAGGGTACACGTTTCTGAGAACGTATAGGACGCTTTAACTGTAATTGTGCTGTAACCATTGTATGGGACACCGTGCAGCTTTAGGGGACACTAATGTTTATTTGAAATGTTCCTACAGGACGGCCCACCAGGCGTGCGCCTCTTAACAGCAGCAGTTATGTCACGGTCAGCTGATGAGCATCTTCATCCACGAGAGCGTAACAGACAGCCAGGGCTCTCGTTGCGGTCCACCCCCTGCCGCTCTCAGCACTCGCCGACTACCATCACCCCGTACGTGGAGCAAGGCATTGTGGGATAGCAGGAGTAGGGCATAATGGACAGGAAGGGTGTATATCTCGTTCACATCGTCCATTAAGGCAAACACACACAGCTTTTCCCCATAAAACGAACATAAGTAGAAAACAAATGGTACAAAAAGAGCGGCATGCAAAATATTCAAAGGGGACAAACTTCTACTACTACAAAAAAATCTTACCACTTCATATTTCAAGTCTAAGATAGAAGTTGCTATATTTAATTTCAGACTGGATTAGTAAAGTGAGTGCTCTGCTGATTAGCGTGTAATGGTGCACCACACACCTTTGGTGTCCTGGGCACCCCACCCAGAGCACACGTACAGTACTTTAACCGAGAAATGTCTTCGAACCCCTACCTCAGTGCAGCACGTACCATCATTATGGCACATTCTGGTATCTTGACTGCCTGGTTTGGAAAAGGCTTTTGGAGTTAAGCACTTACTCACATACTCCAAAGGGGAGCTATCGGACACTATACTTTAAGCCTCAAGTATCCTCGGATGGCTGTTAAACAACCAGTGTCTGCCTATTGCTAGTACTTAAATAGCTTCTTAAGAGTTTGTTCCAACACGGTGTCTAACAGTGAAAAACCTTTCAGGGATGTACCCCTGACTGCCAGGGTCACTGGCCGCGTGCTGTGAGGGAAAAGGTTTCGGTTCCTGCAGCGCAAGTCAATCTGTGTGCAGTGCGGGGCAGAAAGTTTGCAAGGCACATCTGAGCAAGGCAGCGCCTTGGTCCGTTTCCTATGCAGCCATCTCGAGCCCAGGGCTGAGAAACCCACGGCCAGCTCCTCTGCACCAGTTCCAAAAAGGCCCACCTACAGTAAGGTGTACTGGCACAAATACAATTTTAAATCCTCAGACGGGAACAGAAATAGGAGGTAGACTTGAACACGGAGCAGCAAACGGAACATAAAATGCAACTTTCTTGAGGTTCTGGTATCGAGTGAAAGATCCTCCCACAGATATATATGGCTGTCATGCTGTAGCAGTAAACTCCACACCCAGAATATTAAGCCAGATTCCACCTCAGTGTCTTTCTACTGCTAGAAGATCCAAATTGGTCGCATCCCATGTTAATCCTCTATTTTCCCTGGATTGCTTTTACCAATGTCCATTATTAAACTGCAAACTACCCCCACTTTTAGAGCAATCCATCAAAATACAAACACAAACAAAATATATACAGGAAATCCTACAGCCACCACATAACAGATGCTGGAAGCCATGTTCATCAGACCACACTCATGGTAAATGCAGTTAAACACCGCAGTTTGAAATCGATATGCCCATGCCACCATGATTTGTATCCATTTCATTTGGCCCTAGCCATCCATAGAGGGGAGAATAACCAGTATGGAAAGTAAGCACAGTTAAATACTGGACCTTTTGTTCACGTTACCACTCTGGACATCCTATGTGAAGCCATAAGCCAAATCAACCTTTGTGAATCGTGGGCAAAAGCCAGACTCGCAGCAGAAGAGGTACGGTAAGATACGTGGAGAATTCACATCAGGACCAGGTTCATGCTCATGCGAACGGCCACCAGCGGGACACGGCCCAAGGTGTACGATACGAAACACCAGTGGTAAACGATTTGCGTGATCGGCAGGTAGTCACCACCTTCCTGCTGCTCCCTGAGTTAGACACCTGCCAACTTGAACGCAGTGCCATTCACGTCGCGATGAGTGCAATGTCCTGCTTCCATGCAACTCTGCAAGCTCTGCACCCCAACACCGTCCTCCTGCTGCTGGCTGTGGGTCAAAGGTCAAGGTAGATGGGAAGCCGGTGGTTTGCTGGTGGTGTGGGTTTCTGCTGGATTCACGTGGCTCATTCGGTGTAAAGCTAAAGGTAGAGTGGGGTTGTTGAGAGGAGCTGCCTTTTCTTACTGAACACTCACCACCCCTGAAGTCATGTGACACCCACTCCAGTGGGCCTCCAGGACCTGCCCTATACCTGCCTCAGTGCCCTCCTGTATCCTCCCATTCTTGTGCTTCACTACATATATCCTTATTTGAAGTGGGGAACCAAGAAAGGGGGGTCCATCAGGTGTCCTTTGTGTTTAACACAAGGGTCCATCGTCATGAAGTTCACGGTCTGAGAATGAACGTAGACAAGTGGGCTTGATATTCTCACCTGAGGCACAGCTGTACAATGCAATCAGGCTGGGAGAGGGCTATGGTGACCGCTTTGCTGCTTCTAATATAACGCAGTAGTCATACCCTGCCCTTCTTTGGAATAATAAACCCTCCCCCCCCCTTCAAAAACAAATAAATACAAATTTTTAAATGGCAAAAAAAACACTGGTCGCTGCATAGTGAAGACTGCCGAGTACTAAAATAGTGTGAAAGAACCCGACAGCAGAGCAGGAGGTCGAGCTCTAGAGGGACCAGTGCATCTCGTCGAAGTCCACGGCTTCGCCCAGGTTGGCATCGGTCTCCAGCAGGCTCATGATCACGGCCATGGCTGCCTCATCGTTGTTCAGTGTCCCGAGGCTGGGCCCCACCATGCTGTCCAAGTCCAGCTGGGTGTGATCACCTGAGGAGGGAAAGCATGCGTGACACCATGTGAGCAAGTGGAACATTATGAACAAAGCAGAGCTTCATGTGTCTTTTAGAAAGCAACCAACCCGTGACGGCTTCTGATGTAGGAAACTGCTGCCCACGATGCTCCCCAACTGGACCAGACTTGCCAGGGTGCTCCATGCCTGTAAGCTCTCCATTTGGCACCTGGAGGATCACAGGGAGCAGAATTACAGTAGATGGAGAGAGCCTGGCTCCTGGTAGATTCAGTCTGAGAGGGGGGGCACTCACATTAGCACTGGTAGCTGCAAGGGCCAAGTGGCTCTTATCCTGCATCCTAAAGGGGCTGGTGTTGCCACTTAATGGCGATGAGTTCATTCTGTGGGTCATAGGGAGGACAAAGTGAACAAACCCCTCATCTTTTTGGGCATCCAAGGAAGCTGAAACAGGCCGTTCATCCGCCTTATGAACAGCTCACAGGGCTGGTGCAGAGACATGCAAGACCCACCTGTTAAAGTCCAGCAGTTCGTTGGCAATTTGGGTGCCAATGCTGCCAGCGTATATCATGGAGCCAGATCCACTGGAAATGCCCGGAATGATGGGAAACACCTTTCTGGCATCATCTAAAACAGTTAAGCACTGTGTAATTAACTTGGTGGACTTTGGGTGGGGCATCTGATGCAAAATTCGCCTGGTGGATCTACAACTGGGAATGCCTGTCAGCTACTCTTGGACCTGGGTCTCCACTTGGAGTCAAAATAGTCTTTTTCCACATCGAAATCGAAGAATGGTTACTCTCACCATGGAAAAGGGTAGCCAGTAGAAAGAAATTCATAGATCTTTTTTAAGTTATTCAACAAAACAGTAGGGTGCTGGTTAACAGAACCAAAACACACATATTGTGATGTATTGGTTCCTTCATAGTCCTTACTCCACAGAACCGCCGCCTACGTATTACCTTCGGAAGCCTTAGGCTGAGCTGGCTGGTCCGATTTCTCCCCAGCTGCTCCTGAGTGACCCCTGCAGGATGAATGAACATCAGCAATGCACAGACCACAGGCATGGTGATGTTACAATTATGAAGGGTCTTTGAAGTCTTCATGTCATTTAAATAACATCTGTTTCATTGAAAGACAAGAGATGATACTTACGATATGACAGTATTGGTTGATACTATATATTCCATTTCTTTGGTCCAGGGATTTATAAAACTAAACCACTGACTTTGCAGAGTGACAAAAGAGCCGTATTTTGTTTTAAACTTATAGCAGTTCGTTTCGATCTTCTCTTTACTCCTCAGTACTGTAGGAAGGAAGAGAAAGAACAGCCTGAATGTAACCAGATAAAGGCTTCATCATAATCAAACTGCTCAACAGAATGGCGCAGAGTTCCACACTAGGGAATGTTGACTGCAATGTGCGAGAGGGGCTACAGTGTTTGTTTATTCTGGCACCACCTAAGCTGTCTTATGAATTTAGAGAGAGTTACAGTAGTGCAGAAATGGGGAGGGGTACCTCTGGAACAGGACGCGTTCATCTGCAAAGCAAGCAGACATTAGAGTTCAGCATGCAAGGACACCCCCAAGCCTCGCTTACCCTACGGACTCACCTTTCCTATGTCTGTCTGCCAAGTGCGGCAAATCATCCTGGTGGAAGTACTCGTAGCAGGACGTGCCAAGCAGCTCCTGGGGCAGGTAGCCCAGGACGGTGGTCGCTCTGCAGAGAGAATGTCATTTAAAAGATTTGAATTATAATTGAAAGTGTCATTTAAATGATTATCTAAACAATAATTTTAAATGATCTATCAAAGTCACACATCAATCTCCATGGGCGGGCTCTAAACAAAACAAAACATCTGATTGGTTACCCTGCAAACTAAGTCATAACAGATCGATCTCACCTAGTTGATTGAATTCTCATTTAAATGACTGATTAAATAACAATTCAAATAATAATTTAAATGACATTTATTTGTTGAATATTGTCACAAAAACAAGCTCCAGCCGCACTGCATAATCATTCTTTTTTCGGTTTGGTTTTTTCGGTTCCTGTTAGTTGTCCCTGTCTTGGCTTGATTGCCAAACCCTTCTCTCCACAGAACACTGTATTTCAGAACTGACTGATATTTTCATGGCTCCCTGACGCACTGAAAGTGAAGCTCCTTTGTGTACTTTCTATGCTTTCTAAGGTTCCTCCAAGACTTTATCCCGTTAACTTTATCCATATGCGCCAGTCTTAGCAAAGCGATCATAAACAGAGGAGTTCACCCTTTGCTGCTGTTCTTCAAGGTCAGTCACTGTGTGCAGTACAGAACTCAGAGTCCTCGACTCAAACACAATTCCTGTAGTGTGTTAACTATGACCTGCTGTCCTGCACCGTTTCATCTCCAGCCTACCACACACCTGTCTTTTTCTGTCTGTGCCTGACAGTGGAGTCTTCTGTAATATTATAAGCCTTTTTGGTACAGTTTCCCTCAAACGACACACCTAAAATCAATAAGTAATCTGCATCAAATGAAATATTGACAAAATGGTCACTACCAAAATGTGAAAATACTTCATTAAACTGATTGTAGGAGTACAGTGCTGAGAGTAACACCCGAATAACAAGGCAGGGGGGACATGCTTTTACCGTTGATCCACAAAGGTAAATTTGCCATCCATGGCACAGCGGGTGATGAACACGTTGGGCTGGACCCTGACCTCTCCGTTGGCCTGCAGAGCCATGGGGGCGTGTACCCTGCCCACCGCCACCAGGCAGCTGAAGTGCGAGCCGTCTTTGTCCACGTCGCCCTCCACTTCTGCCTCTAGCTGGCTGGCCGGCCAGCTGCGCATGTAGCCTGTACAGTGTACGGTGCAGTACCGCTGGGACTCTGCAGGGGGAGACAAAGCACAGGGCTTACAAAGATGCAGCCAACATTCCTACTTTCATGCAAGGTTCCCACTGATTCTCACATCAACGCAACTAATGGATCATAATCCAAATAAAAATAACTATTCAACAGGAGTGTCCTCAGCGTACATTAAAAAAATCATTACAAAGACTGTAACCAGCATACACAGCCTACAGCATGCAGATGAAAGCAGTAAATTGCCTTTCTTCTTCGAGATGCCGGCTTGGAAGCCCTTCTCCTCCAACTTGACCACCACGCGGTTGTACTTCATGCGGCAGAAGAAGGATCTGCGAGCCCCAGAGCAGAGGCGGGCCGCCCCAACTGGGATGTCGGCCTGGACCTGGAGACCCGCTGCGGGCAGAAGTGGCATCGTCACCAGGAAGCCCCAGCAGACCAGGGGCCTCATGACATAAGAGCATATGGAGCGTAAATATGGAAGCAGCCAAAATCCACACGACATTCTCATATACTAATATTTATCTCATATACTAATATTTATGTGAGATGTTGCGACATTTGTACAAACCCCAAAGCACCATAAATCAGTGAGGCTGCATGGTAGGGCTTCCCCTGCCTTTGCTAAGTGCAACACAGACACAGTATCTACACAACAGCGCCAACGATAAATAATCAGACTGATTGTTTAAACAGACTCCATCCATAAATATAACACATTGATAAACATGGGTGTTGGTGGTCTAGTGGTTAGGATGCTTGCCTCTGGACCAAGAGATCGTGGGTTCGAGTCCCACCTCTGGCACTACCATCATTGGGTCCCTGAGCAAGACCCTTAACCCCAACTTGCTTCAGGGGGACTGTCCCTGAATTTAGAAAAAATGGAAGTCGCTCTGGATAAGAGTATCTGCTAAATGCTGTAAATGTAAACATCATTGCCCAGCCTCAAAGGAGTTAATTAATCTCATTTATACAGGTGTTAAAATCCTTCATGTATTGAAGGATTGATTCAATTCTATTGATTTTTTTCCTACATAGTGAATACTGATGTCACCACAAATGGCTAGTGAAATACTTGCATATTTTACAGCCCTCATCTCAGCATGAAATACAGTGTCGGTAGAGGAACCGTATCGATTTCACTTCGGAATAAGCTGGTGATGTCATAGAAAGGGGGCTTGACGGGGTGCCTGCGGGACATACTTTTGGTATCTACAAGACGATCCCGGGGGTGGAGGTCGCAAGCTGACAGCTGCTCCTTGACCTTGCCCATGTCCTTGGGGTGAACATAGTCGAAGAGGCTCTGACCAATCCAGTCAGTCTGCCAGAATATGCACAGTTCAGCCGCAATTGAAAAGTACTGATGTTAAGTTGAGCGTTCAGCAGAGCCTGACCTGGACAGAACATAAAATCTACTTCCCCATAAATATGCTGTGATGGCATTATGGTGTCCCATGTGGACCAATAAACATTAGCAGTAGAAGCTGTAATATTACCAATGAATCATAACATAATGACTAGCTGGGTCACTCACCCGGCTGTAGTTCAGTATTTTTGAGACCGTCTCAGACACAAAGAGGATTTTTCCCCGGTCACAGCTCACGACAAATAGGAATCCGTCTGCAGCCTGGACGGAAGCAACCGCAGGAGGGCAAGGCCGGAGCAGAGAGGTCAGGGGTCAGAGCACAGCAGGGTTGGGGCCATTCCGGAATGCATTCATCAATTCCAATCCAAATCAGGAAATGGAACTGGAGCTGGGATTGGAAAAAAAACTATGGGGAACAGAACTGGAATTGAATTAGAATTTCAGGGAGATTTTAATTCCCACTCCAGTTCCATTTCCTGATTTGGATCGGAACTGATGAATGCATTCCGGAATGGCATCAAATGACCACATAAACATAACAGTGTGCCCTCTCCTGACCTCTGTACCAATGAGTGTCACCCTGCAGGCTACAGTCCCTGTGTCACCATTGGGGTCAGATGTGTTTACTGCTTCATCAAGAGATTAACAGTATGAACACACAACTTTATAACATTTAAGATTTTAAGTTTTTAGAATACTCACCAAACTCATACACCCTGTTTAAGCTGTGACTTAACCTCAAAATTAAACTGATACCTTTGGGATAAACCATTTATACACATTTACAGTGTTTTCTGTTGTAGAGATCAATACTGTCGATATAGAGAGTGCACCAGGATGCTAGGGGTCTTACCCTGAGAACTAGGTGCTTCAGTTCATCATCAGGCAAGAATGAACGCTTATAGCTGGCTTCTGCAAAGGAGTTGGTGGCACCTGGGGGGGGGGTGGAAGAGAGCTCAGCTTAAAAAGGCAAGTTCCACAACCTGCTATTGAACCTGTGGAGGGAATTATAGTCACGCAGATCAACACCAAAATCTCAGCCAGAGACACAGAACCAGCCACAGTAGCATGATTACAAGGGTGAACTGGTAACTAGGCTACTATTCACTTTCTATAGCTTCACCAAATCTCTGCAGGATTGGTGGAATACAGGAACGGCTAAAAGGTGCCAAGTAAGGATGCCACATATCGGTAGAGCCAGAGATGGGCAGACTGTTGTGGGAGGGGCTAAGGGACAAAGGAACCAATCATGAGGTAGATGCAGCCTCTGAGCGTGAATCTCTGACCACAAAGGAAATTCTGATTGTCTTAGGAGGAACCGGGAGGAGGAAGAGTCCAGGAGGGGACATGCATGTAGGCTGGAAGGGCCAGTACAGGGGAAAATGGGAGGAGAAGGGGAGGAGCTACCTCTTACAGACTTGAGGTGCTGGACGGCCATGCGCAGCACGGTGAGCTTATCCAGCCGGCGGGACACTGGGTGACACGTGGGGATCATGGCCGACAGCTCATCGATCAGGCTGTTCATCTTGTCCCGTCTACGTTTCTCGATTTGGCTGTGGGGCTCCCTGAAAGGTCAAAGGTCAAAAGCTCACTCAGGGGTCAAAGATAAAGAGTTATTAAGGAATCTAAGGCCCAATCCCAATGCCCTCCTGAGCCCTAAACTCTCACATAACCCTTTCACACAAAGTCCTCAACGGAGCCGGAGTTCGGCCGGAGCTCACATCGGCCCCACCAAAAACCGGCCCACGTTCACACTGCACTTAGTGCCGAAAGGGTAGAACAACAACGTCAGAGTGTGAGTACTGCTGTGGGAGGGGTACCGTTTCAGAAGTGAAGACAAAAATGGAGGACCGTGCAAGATGCGTTGAACAAAAATCCTTTTTTGAATTAACTTCAAATGATAACACTATTTTTATCGTTCCTGGGTATAACCCAACACAGTTCATAAAAATTAATGAGTGTCCCGCATTCAACTTTAAAGGCGATACGTGTGGCAATCGATTTTTATAACAGCGGAAATGTGTACTTATGTGTTTTTGCTGCTATGATAAGAAATTACTGTGCATTTTAATGTTTATGTTGCAACTTTACGAATTAGCATATAAAGGTTACAATAAATAATTATTTGTCATGAAATCAGTGCGAATGCATATAAAAGAAGTATGGGATACTGAAGGAACTACTGTGCAATATTCATCAACGGGCTACTTTGATAGGGAAAGTGAAGACAAGAAAAGAACGAAACATTTTGGTAAACATTTATTTTAAAAATATACAAATAATCAAGAAAATATGTAATGTTTCATGTGGGATAATATAAAAAAAAATGATGCTCCTGTCCATCTGCATTCTTTTCACCTGTGTTAAAACAAGCACATGAAAGACAATGAAAGACATGGTAAATTTCACTTAAATTACTGACATTTCAAGCAAGATAGCGTGCGACTTATTTTCATTGCTGTAACAAAGCAGACAGCTGTATGTTATCCATCACTGGCTGATACACAGAAATTCTAATGGTATCTTACTAGTTAGCTAAGTTATCATTAAACACAAGGCTGTACAAAAAAGTTTAAAAATGAAATTGCCCTATTTACAACACACGTCCAACACACAAAACACCACAAAGTGTTTAACGATATGCCATTTTGTTTGACGGATTCTCGGAAGACATTCAACATACACCACACGTAATTAAAGTTCAAACAAATTACAAGTAAACACAACAATAACGACTCACCCGATTCCTCCAAAGCAGTCGCGGAGATCAATGCTCCAGTCACCTGGTTAGCAGGTCCATTTCCAGACACAGTCCATATTTGCTTTTTAGGGCAACCAGCACCACTTTAGCTTAGCCCTCTTTTCGACTTCCTGTATTCTTTTTCATTTTTTACGACTTGCGCCGTTATTCTGATAACCCCTGCCTTCTCCAATTCACTTTGCATTGCTTCATAAACTGTTGCTTTCCGCTCAGACGACTGTTACCCCGTCTCCTGACGTCACGCGCTCCCAATATATCGGATATATCGGCCCCGCTGTTATTTTTGGTGTGAATGCGACGGCCGGGCAGGATTTTAGGCTCCGCACGGGCACCAGACTTAATTGACATCCCCTGGTAAGTAACTGAGTGCAACAGGCCGCAAGGGTTCGAAATAGGCCATAAATAGGATTGGGACAGGACGTTACCTTGACAATTTCCTTACTATTGTGGGTTTGGGACATTTTATTTTAAGATTTGCACTTTCTTCACCATACTGCGTAACGTGAAGGCGTTCCAGGCGCTTGTGTGTTCCAAAGGCTGAGAGGTAGTAGTCAAATAATCAATTTACTCTTTTTTTTTTTGTCAAAACAGCATCATTAAGCAATAACTAGAAGAAATGGATTGTTTACCGTTTACGCTTCCGGGCTTCCGCTGGCAACCCCATGTTTCGTGTCACAACACTATGAACTTTGGGTAATTCTGTCAGACAAAGTCTGACTTGATATCACTTACTTGCTTTACCAAGTCTCTGTCTTGACTGACTTAATTGTTAATCCTAAGAAGCATGACTTGAGACGTGACTCGAAACTTGATGGTTAGGACTTGTGACGTACTAGTGACTTATATATGTGTGACTTCTCATGCCTGCACAGCCCCATACTACATAAGTGGGGGTGAGTGAAGTGAAGTGGGGGTATGAGCCCACACATAAATGCCGACATTATTATTATTACCTGAAGCATTTGACCTTGACATGCTGGTCCTCCCCTTCGGACCTTCATATAAACATACAAGGAAAAAAAGGAAACAGAATGTTAATCAGGTTATTAAAAATACATGTATCATTCCTATTGGCTCCAAGCTCATCTTGTCCATCTTCACCACTTTCAGTCTTTAGCATTTCGCTAAACTGCACATGGACGCCGTCGGTCACGGGCCATTTTCCCGGCAGAACCAGAGCACCTTAATAGCTCGTGACAATTTACAATCTGTAGCGCTTCTGATAATGCCCCCATTTCCACCAAGGTTTCCCCCCGCAGTGATTATTACAAGGCAGCTCAACCCTGCACAATGTCTGCATGAGTCTTTTCTTCAAAGTGGCAAAAACAGACACGACTCGCATCAACTCGCAAACAAATAAATGGGTCAAGCCACTGTTTCTTCCTTAGGAGCGAAACATTTTCTTACATGGTTATTCTGGGCTGTTTTGGATCAAGCGCCTTTCAAACACCCCGACTGGCGCAAGCCGGCTAATCAAACAAGCTGGGAATGATCGATGAAGTCCAGATATAAACCACACAGGACAAATATTTTAAAAACAAAAAAGGAATCAGCAGAGTACCTTAAGGAGATTCACGCTAAGCCTTTAACAGAGAAGCTGTTAAAGATACCCAAAAGATACCAAGTGATGCAAATAGTCACAGGGGGGTGACAGCAGGTTAAAATGTAAAAAACGAAGAAGAAAACTGGAATACTTGTCTTGGTCGTCTTCCATGTCCACCTCTGCTGGATCTCTGGCAAAGAAAAGAAGACTCAGGAAACATTTCCGAAACAGCATCGAGACCTGGGCCCCCCCCCACCATACTGGAGTAGGACTGATGGGAGAGGCGGCGGCTGGCTGGAGGGCGACGGACGGGGGTGGCACACTCACTGGAGGTCCGTGCTGCCCTTGCGTTTCCGGGGCATCTCCGTTACAGCCCCCTGGGGGCCCGAGGCCGGGCCAGCGGCTGAGCCGGCCGCAGAGGAGGAACCGGCTGGCGGCCCGGTGGGGAGGTTCTCCTCCAGCGCCGCATCTCCTGCAAGGCCGGACACAGCTGATTGGTCAGTGAAGGGGAACATGCCCAGAGGCACAGCAAGACTCCACGCTGCGTCCCACACAACCTCAGGAGAGCATGAACGACACGAACGGAAACGGCAGGATGCATGGGATCCAAACAGCAGCTTCGAAGGTCACAGAGTGAGCATTTATTATAATACATTTGCCGTGAATGGTAATAAAAAAACCGCTGTGCACATGAGCCAAGGACAGTCAATTAATGGATTAATGCATTCAGTGTTTCAGTGGTGCTCATTGTATATCATGCTTATGAAACACCTCATTCGGAATTATCACATAAAAGGCTAGAACATACAGCTCTACATGATAATGGGCATAAATAAAACTAGAAAAATTAGAAAAAATAATAAATCATTACAGACAATGAATACTATACAGCGAATGGGAAAAACAGCTCTGTTCAGGGTGATATCAAACACCGTCAGTTATCACTAAGGCGAATTTCGCTAGGAATTTGAAAAATTGATCTCGAACTTGGAAATTAGTGTAATCATTAGCTCACATGGGAAAAAAAAAGTCTGCTTTAGTGAAATTTTTATTTTTTTTTATAAAAACTTTAGCTTGTAACGAATATTTTTACTGAAATGACCATTAAATTTCAACAGTCAAGTTAAAATTTTCATTGTACCTCTCTTTAGTGGATTTTGCACAAACATTAGGAAACCCAGCCGCAAATATAAAAGCCAAACATTCATCTTTGTCAGCCTTGGAGATGACAGTATCTGCTGGGCTGTCATCAAAACTGAGGGGCACTGAGGCTGACTGGGAATAGCCGAAAGCACAAACTTCAAAATGTGTCATTTTATATTGTGTTCATTGACCAAACAGGCTTCCCCCTTCACAGACGGAAACCCCTTGTGTTTTAATGTGTAATAATCAGGTATGAATCCAACCCAGTGCATCGCCTTAGAGGAAAACGGACCCATAAAAAATGCCATTTTCCCCTCCCACATTTGCCCCAGTCCACTAAGCACCCTTAAACACAGCTATACTCCATAAAACACGGACAGTAATCTGCAAACTGCCACTACCCTAACAAAGATCCCGCGACCTTTTGATAGTCACACTTCCAAACAGGGCTGGTCGAATGCCCTGTGGCGTTCTAGGCAAACTGCACTGCCTTTGCCCGCTCAAAAGGTGGCGCTCTAGGCGGCCGCCTATTTCGCTTATAGGATTGACCAGCACCACTGCCTGAGCCCCTACCAGCTCAGCCACAACCGCAGCGCCTCCTGCTGGTGATCACTCTCCGCACTGCGTCCTGCATCTCCTCGCTCTTTCCCAATAATGCTGGTACCAGTTGGCCCAGTGAGGCGGCGTTTCCTGGCACCTCAGTTTCCCTTCTGGAAAACTCTGCCTCCCCAGGGCCCCTCCCTGCCGTTCCAGTCCAGCTGCCATTCGCTGCGTCTGCCCAACAGCTGCCGGAAACGACATCATCTGCGGACCTTCGCCACCATATAGTTTGTTTGAAAATACAGCAGGATCTGTGCCACACATTGAGATCTTGGATGGTTGATTAATGTCGGATGTGCTGCTGACTTCAATAAAAAAAAAATTCTCATAACACAAGTCATTCCCTGGGGTTTCAACATCTGGCAACTTTGACACACACTCTCACACACCCAGAGTTCTTTTAGTGCAAAACAAAGCAAGCTGACGCTTGGAAAAATGACGATTCCCCCTGAGTAGCTATGAAACCAGTGGTTGCATGGCCGGACCTTTAGATACAGAATCACAGATTCTAATTCTGTGAGCGTCCCATCAAGAGCCACACCAGCCAAAGCGGCTTCTAGGGTGAGAATGTGGATGTTAGCTGCATGGGGGGGGAGGGGGGGCAGCCGGGTTCTGTCCTGCTCCCACCCGAGCTCCGCAAAAAAAGTGTCCTGCTGGCTGAGTTCCCACAAGCTGAGAGCTCTGAGAAAAGGTACCTTTGATATTTTGCTGCTTTTTTGCAGTTTCATCACATTCATGAGTGACCCTTTTTGCTTATGGCTATCAGTTACATAGATAAAGGCACAGCCTGCAGGTTTGCTGTTGTTTTTTTTACTAACCGTGCATCAATAAACATGAAAAGGGAAGTTTAGCCTTACGTGTCCCTGACATAAAGCTCACATTGCACACACTGAATATATTTGCACAAGATACTTAGGTAAAACTGGTTCACGCACAATTTTCCAGGAATGCTGACTCCACAATATCCTCATCTGCAGCGATTCGGCTCATCCTACCACAACCTGCGCATTACGAGTTCAGGAACGGCTCTGCATTTTGTGCTAAAACAGGGACCCTACAAAAAAAAATAAAAAATAAAAAAAATCAGAACAGCGTGAAGATGAACGCTGTCATATCGCAAACGTGCAAAATGCCGCCACGTGTAACGCCCAGGAATGCAGATTATCATCTTTGGCACAGGTAACCTCATGAAGACTAGAGTTAAAGTTTATCTGTGGCGTTTACCCGCGTGTGAAATGCCACATTAACCAATGGGATGCTGGCGCAGAGAAGCCTGTGTCACACACAACTTACATGTACAGCTGGGTCTAAACTCACACTGTAATAGAGAAAGAACAACTTTTAAGAGGATGATGATAATGTGCTGTTTATAAATGCAGAGAATACTGACCGTTTACATTGTAATACTGGGTGGCATCCGTCTATCATCCATGAATGTAAACCTCTGCAATAGTTTTCTCCTTCCCCTGGAAGAAACTCTGAACGCTCACAACAAGGAGAGCGATGCTGAAGACGGGCCGGTCAGATCTGTGCGAGCACGTTATTTATAATCTTCATTACTAACTAACATAACACCGCATAAAATCTAAACCTAGCATCAGACCACAAACAGCTTATTCCATCTGCAAAGACACTGCTCAGTTAAATGGCTAAAAATGGTTACCATGGGAACGTTTTACAACTAAGGGCACTATTTAGTCAAAGGGCTATGAAGATGTTTTGCAAAAACAGGCATTCAGATGAAAAAAACAGAACTGTGGTAAGATGGGCTGACAGGGACAGGTCCCCCCCCGCCCCCCACCCTGGTCTAGCTCAGCACCAAAGAGCCCCTTTCTACACCATTTCTGGGTCTGCTCTATATACGAGCCAGAACACGACACTGGATAACACAGCCTGTTCTACTTTCTCCTCAGGTTGGTCTCAGGTTAACACAGGCTGTGCTGCACGTACACGTGTCCTCATTCAGGGAGGCCGGAACAGGCACCGCGACCCCCCCGTTACCCCAGAAACCAGCCCGAATTCTAAAGCAAGGGCTCACGCTGCACCCTCAGCATAAGACCAACCCACACATCTGCCTTAGGGTGGCTTTATAGAACACAAATGCTGGACGACTAAATACGCAGCTTCCCTTAAACATAAGGACGACACAAACATGCCGGTTTACGGTGCTATAATGTACTGCAAGGGTCAGAGTAGATGTGGGGGAAAATCAGACCCCAGGAGCAATTAAACACTGCAAACCTGCTGGTCTGCGCTCTTCTCTCGTTATCTGTGTAAGCGACAGGCAGCTCGCTGGACGCCCGTGACCTGAAGACAGTGGCTTCCCACGCTTGGGTATTTATACCCTGATCTACAGACCCACTGACCTCAATGGCATCTAACAAACCTACAACCTGATTTTTAATCCCATGTTCTGGAGTGAAAACCTGGAGCAGGTTTATGTGCCGGGGGTGGGGGGGGGGGGGGTTAATGGATGGCATGTCCACGCCTGAGGCTGCACAGAATTCCAGAGCGGAGCTGAGCTTGACAACGGGCAGGCGATACTGAGATCCGACGCCACGGAAACGGCCAAGAAGCCAGCGGCAGCTGGGGACGGGCAACACGTCTGATCGAGTTGCAATTCTAACACCTTCGCGGCATCATCCATTAAAATGTACCGAAACACATCACACATGTAGCACTGATCCATGATCAGCTGTCGTTGAAAGGTAAATCTTTATACTGTATAGCATCCTGTGTCCTTACTGTAAACCAAAACAGTGAAATCCAGCGCGCCACACTAACAAGGCAATCCGGGGACATGCAAAGAACTAAAACCTTTCTGCTGATTCACCAGAAGATGGCACCACAAAGGCCTACACACTAGTCACACTCTGAGCGTGCTAAGAATACTCACCTCCTGGTGGATGGCACAGAAAATACCAGGGACTGTGTGGAAGAAAGAAGAATCCCCTGGGTGTTTGCCTGCCTACTCACTCACTGGGTTTCTAGGCACCACAAAGTTTCTAAACATGCTTCAGAAAACACACCAATAACTTGCCCTTTAGTTTGATTCACTAAATACCAATTAACTTTGGCATGTTTTTGGATTGTGGGGGGAAACCGGAATACCCGGAGGAAACCCCACAAAGACAGGGGTAGATCATGCAAACTCCACGCACACGGACCTTGGCCTCAGAGGTGTGAGCAACAATGCTAGCCAGTGTGCCACCATGCCCCCCCGCAGAGCCATACACCAGTTTAAAGTTCACAGTCAACTACACGCTCCGATAGCTCCAGCTGATACAGCAACGGGCTACACACACCCATGAGTGCAAAAAGCCAGAGGAATCACAAGCGGTTCTGCCTTAACACTCAGCCAGCCATGAATCCACCACCCGCATCTATGAATGGAGACGCTGTGCCCACACGCCCAGCGGGAAGTGGAGACAACTTGTGACCACATGATGTTTGTACACACGCAGGTGTGGACGTGATACTTCCACACGTCAAGTGCGAATCCAAATGAGAATAAAACAGAAAGCCGGTCTCCTTAGGGACAGCATCACACCCACTGCAGATCTTAGGCAAATGGCCTCAGGCTGGTCTCTAGTCTACATGAACGTCAGCCTTGACTTACTCCAGAAACCCTGAAGATAAAGGAAATCACGCATTTAAAAGGCACCCGTCCCCCAGCATCAGTGATGCCGAGCGGGGTAAAAAAAACAAAGAGTACCAATTTGTACCATTGGATGTACCCTAGTTGTAGGTAAAATGTACCTTTTAGTCTAATTTACGATACAGAAATGGACTCTGAGGAACATCCCCAAGGTACAAACAACATTAATTAATGTACCACCCAGTGGTACAAAAATGTTCCTCGGAGTCCATTTCTGTACCTTATTAGGTATATTTACCTACATCTAGTGTACAGTTGGCAGACCCTTGAGGGTACAGCCCCTGTGACAAGCAAAGGTACAAACTGGTAATCTTTTTTTTCCTAACGGTGCCGTTCAAATGACGTGATAGGAGTGATGTCACCATCGGGCCACTGAGAAAAAGCACTTGACCCCAAGCTACTGCTGGGACCCTGCTTTCTCATTGGATGTCACTTTGAATAGTAAAAAAGAGTAAATATTTAAGGAGAGTATGGAAATGTGAAAAGAGAGGTGAAGTGTGATCGAATGATCCCCAATCATTTTTAAAACGAATAATCTGTAGTTTTGGAAGAGTGGAAGGGATCTCCAAATGACATACGGCCAAACGCATCTATATTGTCAGAAAAAAGTACCAATTTGTACCTTTAAAATGTACAATTACTTGTCACTGAGGCTGTACCCTCAAGGGTCTGCAAACTGTACCAAAGCTGCAGATAAATGTACCTTTTAAAGGATAGAAATAGACTCTGAGGAAGTATGTACCATTAAGGGGCACTTTATTGTTGTTTGTACTTTGGGGTACAAAATCATACCAGGGTTTTACACTTTCTGACAGTAGAGTGGGACTCATGGGGGTCCGAGGTGGAGGAGGAGATGTGGCCATGATTACTGTCGCTGTAAACAGGTTCGTGCTTACGGAGAACGTGGGTGGGCAGCCAACAGATGCTGGGATTTTTAAACCCACGAGATGTGAAGTGACACACGTCAGCACACAATTATCTCACCAGGTATAAAAACTCATTTTACTGCATTTTTTTAAGAGTCTCTGGAATAATACATTTGTTCTATTTTATTACAATTGCGGGCCTTTTCAGTCTGGTCAAAATCCCTCGTCATACAACATAACCGACTGCCACGTGCAGCTCTGTCTATAAATCTAAGTGAAACGGCACAAAATTTTTCCACCAGCGGAAAGATGTTCTTACGAGACAATGTAATACAGAGCAGCGCACTGTTATATGGAATTTTTAAATCTTTTTTTCCCCCATGACACCTGTATGAGCACACAGCACCTGAGCAATGAAAAAAAAACTAAAACGACAGCGTGAAATATGCAGCACAATTTCCAGATCCTAACATTAAACACTGACGCAATAGCAATTACTACTGGTAGCAGACTTTACTGGCGCATTTGCACTTGCTGAAATGGGCGAATTCAATGAAGTCAAGGGCAAATCTGAACGGAGACACGCGAGGTCGAGGACCATCGTGCACAACAAGTGTGCTGGTAGTTTGGCCTACATATTATATAACCGTCAGACTGTTCAACTTGCACACTAATGAACAAATCACAGAAAGGACAGGTTTACCACCCACCACATCGTTATAAAAAATATTTATGACACTTTAATTGTGGATTCAGAAACGGGACTTTGTTTAAGCTCAGTATATACTCCGATCAAAGTTATACGTTTTACGCAAAAAAAACACCTGAAAACCCAACAAAGAGAAAGAAAGATCCCCCATTTCTACACCGCAGTATCACGCCTTCATGTTATGTTATTACATTCAGGAAAACTTACCGTGACCGAAAACCATAAATAACCTTAATTTCCTAATACCGCATCAATCTACACTGTGCGGGCGTTTTGAGACATTTATTTACAAACATTTAGAGTGTAAAATATTTACACCTTTTGGGTTAAATAGTGACACTCATCCATAACTGAAACGATACAGATAATGGGAAATATTCTTAGTACAGTACTACAGGAAAAAATCTTTTACAATTATTGAGGGAATTCAGGCAGTATTCATCATTTAAAAAAAAGAAGTAAAAGACAACCACAATTTCGCTTTTTTTAATATCGACCACAAGCTAAGTCTGTTTGTTGTTGTTGGGAAAATAAAAACGAAATCATGCATTTAATCAACATACTTGCGAATATTTGTCAAATCGTCGCAAACAGGCAATAAAATGACAGGGATGATATGAGACAAGAGAAGTGTCATCTGTTCAGTTTTTTTAAAAACGCCTTGAAACCCCAATATGCCAGCGGGTAAAACCCAAATAAAATGAACGAAAGCTGACGGTAAAGTCGCATCTGTGCACAAAAGGGCCTAGTCAGCCAGCTATACGTCTCGGTGTCCACTCGGAAATAAAGATACTTTAAGTATTAAAGATAAGCGCGCCGGCGTGGGCTTCCGTACCGGCGACAGGCGCCCATCGCACCGGCTCCCCGATCGACCGGGACGCCGCATTTCGGCCCTTTCCGTCCCACGATCTCGCTCAGATTTTATAAACGTTCCGGAGTTTGCTCCACTGAACTACTGACCTAGTTTCGGCACGAACAGTCTGCAAGCTAGCAAAGAGGAAGTGCACCGACGATCCAGCCCCTCTTTCTCCGCAAGACCCCCCAACATCGACTGTATCACTCGGCTTAAACGCGCTGAACCGTTTAGGGCGCCGGTCGCTTACCTGCCCGTTCACCTGCCGCTCCAACGCCGCCGCCGGCCGCTGCATTCCCCGCCGACATGGCTGGAACCGGTTCGCCGGGGCCCGGGACTGCAGTGCATGTGGAGGGGAGGCGGCGGCTCTTGTGGCGAGAGGAAGGAGCGAGAGGCGGGGTATAGCGGCTGTTGTATAATTGACTTTATTTTTATTTATTTATTTATTTATTTTCTGCCAAGGAGGGAGCATGGGGGGGGCAGAGGAGCGTGCGAAGGGAGCGTCCTGTCTAATCAGGTCACGGGGTGGACCCCGGGAAAACACGGAAGGGGCTGTTTCTCCACCCCCGTCTCCATCTCCGCCCCCACATCCATCAGCAGCGTGGGACTCCTGGTGCCCAAAACGCGCAGAAGTGCACAGACCTCGGACCTCTTACGGCTTCATCAAAGCCTGTTTCCCTTTGGTTTGTTCCGCAATTCAAGAATCAGAGCGTTTCCATAAAAAAAGCATATTCCATCATCTATCAGATTGTGAAAGTTGTATGAAAGAACAGTAATAATGATGTCGCGTACTTATATTTCTGCATGGTAGGCTAACATTGAATGTGTAACATTATGGTCGTAGTAGGAAAGTGCATCTAGCGCTTCTTCCCCAGCAATAGCCGTCATTTGCCGCCTTGTTAACCGGCGCCTGGAAAACGTGCGCTGCTCCCCGGATCGCTGCGTGCCGCTTCTGCCGGTCCGGGATGGGTTTATCCGAAGCCGGCTACACCGAGATGGGGCTTGGGGGAGGGGAGGGGAGGGGGGGGGCGCGTTTCCTGCCCTTCCCCTGACACATTTTTATCTTTCACCTGGCCACTGCATGTAATTCAATTCCTTTACGTAAAAGGAGCGCTTCACGTGCCTCTTCAAGAACGTGTACTAGTTTGACCTAGTTATTATATAACCTACCCACCGTCACGTGCGGTCTGCGCATTAACCCCTGAAGCCCCCTGTCTCCGGGACAGCTCTGCTCGCATTAAAGCCGCCCGTGACAACTTAGAGAGTGACTTCAAACCCCCATGTTATTCAGTTTTATGTCATCTTATTGACCGCTAGAAGAAAAACCGATACAATATCATGCTTAGTTATATTTACATATATAGCATAGTATACCATTATTACACAAGGCTGACGTAATATATTAACCGAAATACCTGGAAATTCCAGTTTACATTGTATTTCACCAGACGTGTTCTTTAAAAGATTAACAGTAATAAAGGTTATAAATGTTAAAATGCAAACGCCTTATACTGTTCCGTGGTTTTTCGGCGGACACCCTGTATGCAATGTCGGCGCTTGCCCGACGCGTGGCCTGCAGAGTTTTACCATGGTTAAACCTTGGACTTTCTGGATTTTGACTTACTTGGTACAATATTATTAGTTTTTTACTGTTAAGAAAGCTAAACATTTCTTCATCCTTGGTTCTTAATTACATTTGAAATGGCATTTTTATAATTGAATTTCTTAATAGCTTCATTAATGGGCCGTACTTTAGTAATTTGGAATTCCATCCATCCATCAATTCATCTTTTAGATGTTTATCCAGTACAGGTTGTGAGGGGCCTGGGGGGGGGGGGGGTGTCCCACGTTGCACAGGGGCCCTTGGCTGCGATTCCGGTCACACTGCAGGACACTCTCACACAATATGGGCAAATTAAGAGAGACTATTTTATCCAGCTGCTTGTTTTCACACTGTCAAAGGAGGAAATCCGGGCAAATATGGGAAAACATGCAAACTGCACACCCACGGAGCCGGAGCCAGGACTGGGATTCCCAACACAGGAGGTGTGAGGGATTCCCAACACAGGAGGTGTGAGGGATTCCCAACACAGGAGGTGTGAGGGATTCCCAACACAGGAGGTGTGAGGGATTCCCAACACAGGAGGTGTGAGGGTAACAGTGTCAACCTGTACAGAAATATCCCGTCTTTGTGCTCTGGGAGAAAAGCAGGAGAACCTGCACAAACCTATAAAGACGCACCCAGAGGTGGGTTAGAGATTAACCCCACAATGCTAACCATCAAGTCCGTGTGCTACTCTGAAAGAGGCTTTACCAATGTATTGCACAGGTAAACAGGTTTTGGTGCAGAATAAAAAAATTCAACTTGGATTCTTGTACCCTCTCTGTAGCTGCAATCCCAACAAAGACCATCACACACACAAGACCCCGCTTTACTATTGTTTAGGATCGTCTAACATTCAAAGCCTTTTATCCCAGTTTGGCTTCATAAAGTCTTCTGTGATGCCTATATTTCAGTAAATTTGTCATAAATGATCATAATTCAGCAAAAATAAACATTTTCACTACCCATCCCAAGCCGTACCTGGGGTCCAGAGCCTGGCAGACTGTTGTGGTTCTTACCTTCAGGCAAAGATAAGGCCGACTTGAGAACAGCGCCCCCTGCAGGCACAGTGCCACGCCCAGCAGAACCTCGCTGGACACCTATGGCAGGTGCGTGTCGCTATGCTAGCTACAGATAAAGCCGGTTTGGTGTGGTGTATCTATTCGGAGAGGTGAGATGTAATATTACTGATAACACTGGCCAACAAATTTTAGGGATTTTTTTGTTTCTTCCATAATTTTGGGTGAAACCAATAGATTTTAACGTGCTGAACACAAATATGTATTTGAAATTTTTGAATCAGGTAGGGTTTTAAAGAAAACTGCAATTATGCATTTAACATTATAACGTCTTCAGTGGTATAGGTCTATGCTATGATATTGCAACGTAAGCGACACAAGAGAAGATTAGAAATGTTTTGATGCAGATTTTCGTTTGTAGTCACTGTCCAGGGCTTCACATATCAGTGTCCAACAATAGCCCCCCAGCATAGACGGACTCCACTTTCCCTGATAACGTTTCTCCGTGTTTGCAATTTCTTGGTGAAACCTTTCTCCATGTTCGTCACTGACTGCACCGAGGTCGGCTGGGAAGAAATCCCAGTGACATGTTGCCGTTCATTGATTTGTATGCCTGGAGCAGACTTTCAACCTGTCCGACGTAGTTTGCGCAACATGAACGTGCCCAAGTACATATGATGAGACAGATTTCCATGAAAAATTTGATCTAAATGTCTCTAGTATAAATTACATGAGTTAGTTTTTTAAAAAACACATTAGTTCTGACCTACTACTGCCAGGCATGTAAACTGGAATACCCATTACTATGCAAACCACTCTGATTCTAACACTGCCTCCCTACTATTAGAAAATTAGCCTTGCCCACTGGGAAGATTTATTTCTTTGATCAGCATCATAAAATCTATCTGGTGCAGAAAAAATTTTGAAGGAAACAAAAATCACGTCGACCAGCGAAATATGAACTGCATGAAATCCAACATACTCAATCCAGTGTTCAGTGATCTTGTAATGTGTACTAATCTGACAAGGGCAATATCTGTGGTTCATGTGATTGTGTACCTTCTCAGCAGAAACCTGGCAATCTGGAACCTTCTGGATACATGTAGATAATCAAAACACAGTTAGATGTTTACTTTGTGCACGACCCTGACCTTCAACACGCAGCATATGCGGGGGGGGGGGCGCTAGAGACTTCGGGCCCCATAAAAGCACATCACACTGGCCCCCCAACCCTGACCAATCAGATTATGTTCCAGATTTTTTAGGGCCCCTGTCACTCAGACGCACACAGCCTGTATGTTCCAGCATTTCCCCCATAGACAGCAGAGTCCTTTGTGTCAGTGTTGGTTGATATTTTATCCCCTTCATGTTAAACAGTACAGGCAGCATCAGTGGGCGGCCAGTCGAGGAGGTTGGGACATGCAAATGTGGTACAGCAAGCGTCTGGAAAACGTCGTACACTGTTTCTGGTCAAGGGAAGGCCGCCCGTAACAGGCAGCCTAAGAGGAGGAGCTCCGTATGAATGCCCCCTGCCAAAAGCACGTTTTCTGCTGTTAGTCTGTGGGAGAGAATCACATAATTCCTTCGGTCCCGCCAATAATATCCAGATTTTCTGTACAGATTTAAGAAAATGCAGAACTACACATCTAATTTGTGCCACGTCAATATAATTTTGAAAACAGGTTTCACTTGTTTACCACTTAATTACCTTGTAAGTAATTCTCGTTTTCTTTGACACAGACATACTTTGTATTGACATACTCTTGTATATGCCTGATATTCTGGAGAATATTTCTGCAGTTGCTAAGCAGCCGCTGTGCTTTACGAAGCAGAAAGTGGCCAAAAATTTTCCATTAAGATTCACTGTACAGGCAAAGGTGTATGTGCAATTTTAATGTACAGTCCTGAACAAGGAACTGACCCTCCCCGTCTGTACTTAGTTAAAATAAGTCTTTGCGCTCATAGGACACTTCTGGGAAAGACAATGAAAATCTATACACCCCAGGCCAACACAAACATACACAAATAACAGCATCTGCTTGGATGTCGCGGCCAGGGCCACAAATAGCTTGCACTTTCGTCACTGCTGAAAATATCCTCTCTTTAGGACAGTCTAGAGAGTACAGTCCCTTTTTCCACGTGTCGTCACTCTATGCAGCACAAATATGCTCTATTGCCATGGACCAGTAACAGCTGCCTCTACACGTAAATATGATAAAGAATTAACGTTATAAAACTACTTCACAAAACTAAAATTTTGGACACGATGGATGAAGCCCAAGAGTATTAGTGCTTGATACAGTGTCTGTGACCTGCATCTCTCGCTCGCTCCTTCCAGTGATGGATGACCTCAGTACCTTCACACTTCAGTGTTTAGACAGACATGGGGCAAGCGAGGTGGGGGGAAAAAAAACTGCATCACTTCCTGCCAGCGGCGGTGGCGGTAGCCCTACGGGAGCAGAAGCACACCCCCGCATGCCCTGACATGTGGTACAGTCTATATCCCCCGACCACCCCCCCTTAAATATGGTACAGTCCGTGTTACTGCCCAGGAGTTCTTGCACCAGTCGGGGTCCGTATGCTCGACCACCGAGCACTCGGCCCACTTCAGGTCCACTCCGGCAGCGGCCCTTCAAGCCTTCCCTGCCTTCATGTAGGAGGGGATGGTTCCCCGCTGGGTTAGCCCTTCGAACCTCTTGTAGGTGTAGTTGAGGAAGACCCAGTCCTTGGATTTGTAATCCGGTTCTGTGGCATTTGTCACTGAAAGAAGAGGCGGACATTAGCACATGGCAGCCTGGCGACACATACGACACATCATTCGCAGCAGGCGGCGTGTGGCGGCGCCCCCACCTGGCTGGAGGATGTCCGACTCCGGGAAGTCGTCAAAGTTCGATGTGTCATCTATGCTTTTGATCTCGATCGATATGGCGGCCGGCCGCTCCCTGTGAGGGCGGTAAACAATGAGTTAAGCACCAATTGGTGTTCAGTCACCAATACGCTTCCACACCTGCCTTAAAGAAAGGCACCAACCTTAGTGAGGGGGTATGAAATATATGACGACGACAACAACAACAACAACATCATCATCATCATCATCATCATCATCATCATCATCATCATCATCATCATCATCATCATCATCATCATCATCATCATCATCATCATCAATCATCATCATCATCATCATCGTGGTGCAGTGATTAGCACTGTTGCCTCACACCTCTGGGACCAGGGTTCGAGTCTCCGCCTGGGCTACATGTGTGTGGAGTTTGTATGTTCTCCCCATGTCGTTGGTCTCCGGTTTTCCCCCCACAGTCCAAACGAATGCTGAGGCTAATTGGAGTTATTAAATTGTGCCTGTGTGAGTGACTGGTGTGTGAGTGACTGGTGTGTGAGTGACTGGTGTGTGAGTGTGCCCTGCGATGGGCTGGCCCCCCATCCTTGGTTGTTCCCCACCTCGCTCCCATAGCTTCCGGGATAGGCTCCGGATCCCCCGCAACCCAGAAGGATAAACGGTTTGGAAAATGGATGGATTATTATTATTATAAACTCGCACCTGATGTGCTCCCAGTCCACCGACTCGAAAAATGGGTGGTTCTTGATTTCCTCCACACTTCCAGCCCCGATCCGATTCTCCGAATCAGTGCAGTATCTGAGGACCACAGGACACGGGGGTGGGACCCTCATTTTCCCCAGAAAAGCAGGCAAACCGCACAGCGGCACCGGCACAGCGGCACAGCGGCACAGCGGCACCGGCACAGCGGCACAGCGGCACCGGCACAGCGGCACCGGCACAGCGGCACAGCGGCACCGGCACAGCGGCACAGCGGCACCGGCACATGTAAAACCCCAAACCGCCAATGTTATCAGTTTTAATATTCAATATCTCATGGCTGTAAAGTGTGGAAAGTGCAGAACATTTTGAGAATTATATTTGTGCTAATAGTGCTTACAAAAAGACAGTGGACATGTTCGACTATATTGCATTAAAATAATTCTCAATTAATAATAATGTTATTAATTGATAATAATAATTCTCTTAATGCACAGTAGAGGGACAGTGGAGATCCTTCTTACGTGTGTGGGGACGGCATTTCAGAGCATTTCTCATTACCCTGTAAGGAAACACTGTCCTCCAGCACTGACCTTAAGATCAGGTCCTTGGCCTTCTCCGAAATCGGCACCTCGGGGGGGAAAACAAGCGTCTCCTTCCAGTTCATGACCTTCCTGTATGTTTCCTGAGGTGTTTCCGAGCAGAAGGGGGGGTAGCCTGAAAGACACAAGACTCCCAGTGACCTGAGCAGCATTGTGAGGTGTGTGAGAATCACCGTGTGGATGCAAACTCACCTATCAACATTTCGTACATGATGACTCCCAGAGACCACCAGTCACACAGCTTGTTGTAGCCGGTCTGCATGAAGACCTCGGGCGCGATGTAGTCTGGGGTTCCCACAGTGGAGTACGCCTGAGGAAACGTTCACAGGGACTCAGAACCCAACCCAACCTGGCCCACAGACACAACCACTCCCATTAATGATCCGGGTGGCAAACATGATTCCCGCTAACATATAGACTGACCGACAGATAGCCAGATCCAGTAATATACAGCCCCTCCTAGTATCACACAACCACTCACACTAATATACAGACCTACCAATACAGACACTCTCACTAATGTATAGTCCCCCCCCCTCAGTCACTCTCATTAAAATATAGACCAACCTACAACCAGCCACTCTCAATAATGTAGTCTCTCCCACTAATATTCAGCCACTCCCACTTACATATAGACCCTCCTCCAGATGGCCACTCCCACTAATGATTAGCCCCTCCCACTAACACAGACCCACCCACCAATACAGACACTCCCACTAACATAAAGCACCTCCCCCTAACACAGCCAGACCCACACAGAGTAACACACCAACTGCCTCCTGTTCTTCTTCCACGTCTCCGCTTTCCTCTTGGAGTTCATGTTCTGGAAGGCTGTGGGAAGCAAGACACGAGACAGAAACAGCCCTTATCACAGAGATGTTTAGAACCCACGCGGCTGCGATAAACAAAGGCCCTGATAGAGCAGGAATGGCCCCGAGGCAAAAGAAGCCTTCGGTGAGGAAGGAGCCCGTTCAGGGCTTCTACTGTGAGGGGTGATCGACGGACAGGGACAGGAAGCGGTCAGGCGGGGCGGCGTACAGAAGTCGCTGGGAGGGTTGTGGGTCAGGTTCCGGTAGAACTCAGTCCGGTGCGCCTTCTTCAGGCCCGTGCACAAGCCAAAGTCCGACAGCTTCACGTGGCCCTGGAGCCAAAGGCAGGACAATTATTTGAAACATTCAGATGGAGTAGAGTAGAGATGAAGACAGCATGTCAGCCCGTGAGACCCTGTGACTGTATCTCACCCTGGAGTCCAACAGCAGATTGTCGGGCTTGATGTCTCTGTGGATGAAGCCCAGCTGATGGATGGAGTCAATGGCCAGGACGGTCTCGGCGATGTAGAACTGGGTGGCCTCCTCAGACAATGTGTCCTTCTTCATCAACAGGGTCATCATGTCTCCTAGAAAAGGAAGGAAGGGCCGTTTGAGGACTTTGGACCATCACGCTCCCAGCTCCGAGATGCTCCCGTGCCGGTCGTCACCTCCAGGCAGGAACTCCATGATGAGGTACAGGTTCCGTTTGTCCTGGAAGCTGTAGAACATCTTCACCACCCAGGCACCGTCCGCCTCCACCAGGATGTCCCTCTCGGCGCGGATGTGAGCGACCTGGAGAGAGGCGATGAAGTTAGGGTCCATAGAGCCGCAGTGACAGGCCAATGAGAAAAAGACTGACAGGATTAAAAGCCAATGAGGAAACGCAGCGGTTTTCAAAGCCAGTGAGGAGAAAGGAAGACTGAACGGCAGAAAGTAGAATTTAACTGACTAACTTCAGTTTGAGAAGGGCTGATTTTTGATTTAATAATGAATTATTCGCGGTGGCTAATGACAGAAATGAGTTGTGAAGTGAAGAAAATCATCCATCCATCCATCCATCCAGCCACCCCTCAGCTGCTTATTCTGTGCAATGTTATTAAATCGCTGGCTTCCAGGTGGGTGGCCCTTCACCGGTGACCCCACCTGCTCCTTCTCCAGCATGTCTGCCTTCCTCAGAATCTTCATGGCATAGATGTGGCCCGTGTCCTTCTTCTGTACCAGGCGCACCTGAGGAAACACGGAGAGGATCAGGTGCCCAGCGTGGTGGGGGCGCAGCACACGAGGCGCGGCGTGCAGGGGCGGGTCTCGCGGACGCTGCTGGGACGCACCTCCCCAAACGCGCCCCTCCCGATGACCTTGAGGGACTCGAAGTCGTCCAGCCCCAGCCGGGTACGCTTTAGCCGCAGGAACTCCGTCTCCTTGCGGGCGTGCTGCGAGCGTCGCATTATCTTCTGCGAGGGAGATGTGGCGAGAATCGCGTCAGGGGGCCAGGAGCCGGGAGGTGGGCGCGGGGGGGGGGGGGGGGGGATGAGGAGCATTCCCAAAGCGGCGGGAGCGACTTACCTCATCATCCAGCAGGCCTTCCTCATCCATAGCCTTCTCCAGCTTTTTCTGTCTGCAAAGAGAGCCGGTGAAAAACCACACAGAGGGACCATGATACCCCGGTCTACCCGAAGAACAGCTACAGGAGGAAATTAGCTGCTTATACCCAACTAGGCAGCCTCTACAGGAACTAGATAAAAACAGCCATCATTAACAGCTCTAAAAATCATAATAATATCAACAGCGATAAAATACAGGCTAAGCAAAAGGAAGGCAGTACATCACATTTAGAAAATTAAAATAATATTTATGATTAGGCTGACAGTGAACAGCATCTAAACTATTTTTACAAGGCACCAAATTAAATAAGTACGGCAGCTTGCCAATTTGCCTCAAGATATATATAACAAAGTTTACCGCCACACTCTAGTGGGTGTGAGAAGGAAAATGTCACCCCCTATTGTGATATCCTGGAACTACAACCCCCCCCCCCCCTCCCAAAAAAAGGACTTCCCAGATCTCCTTTAATTTAAGTTGCGAACAATTTGGATTACTGAACATTTGCCAATTAAGAGTCTGTGTGTTAGAAAATCTAAAGGGTTGAGTGTCCGCTGGTGCTGACCTCATCTCCCGCTCCTCGTGCTGCGTCAGCAGGGTGCTGTAGAAGTTTTCCAGCGTCAGCTTGGCCACGGTGACTCGCTCCCGCGTGTGGTTGCTCATGGGAAAGGGCCCTGCCGTGCCCCCGGTCATGGCCATGCTGGCCTGCAGGAAGAGCGGCACCTCTGAGACCGGCGGCCATTTTCCCTGCAGCTCCCCGTCGCCTTTACACCCCGTTAATCTATCATCTCTTACCGCTACGATATTGCACCCGTTCTGTGACACTGCCCCTTTGAAGAACCTCTCGCTGCTACAGGCAAGGCCGGTTCATTGGTATAATACTTTTCCATACACAGAGGTCACTCAAAGTGCGTTACAGAAATGAAGACAAAAATAAATTAAAACATATGAAATATTAAAAGAATAAAAGTGCAGCATTCGTGATCATTAAAATGCCGATTTCATTCAAATTAATTAAAAGCTACTAAAAATACGAAGGTTTTCATCTTGGCAGACACCCCACCTCACCCAGAATTCTGGGAGCCCCCCCCCCCCCCAGTTCCCTGACACCTGCCAGTGATGCGCCACGTCCTGGAAATCTGCCCTTTGTCCAGCAAGTTTGAGCCCCAGCCCCTCCCCGGCCGGCAAAGCTTACTGCTTGCCCCCCAACACTTCCCTAGCCCCCATATTCAATGCAGGCAAGTTCCAGCATTGTAACTGCATAGTAACTAAGTGCCACTTTCCCCTGTTTAGTTTCAATGGAGTCCTAGCTGACCTACCGGCCTTGTAATGGTGAAGCATGTCACAACGTAACATGTCACTCTCAAGTAGAACGTGAGGTCCAGCTAGTATCGAGAATTAATAGTAACAGTACAGTTCGTGCGTAGTATGTGTGCAGTGTATGACCTTGAGCGTGATAACATGCACAGTTACAGTGATGTTGCGTCAAATGAGTCAGAAAGCACCTTGTGCACTGCACACACACGACAGGGATTTTTTTTTTCCGTTTCTAAAAATGACATCAGTCTGTTTAGTCTGTGGACGCCACACTATTTTCACTTCCCCATTTTGCACGCCTCGGCCGTCAGCTTTCCAGGAACCCTACTGAGATGCCATGGGTCAGGTGTCAGGTCGAGGTCTGGAGGGCGAGCGGAAGGCGGTGGGAAGAGCTTGGAGGAAAAAAAAACAAAACAAAACAAAAAAAAAAAAACAATTCCCAGAAGTTCGGAAATTTTCCTGCTCTCAGCCCTTGCCGTGGTTTTTAGGTCAGTGACACCCATTCTCCTCACCAACTCAGGGACTCAAAACTTTCCAGCTCACTTTCCACCAAAGCTCCTCTGAACATGCAGATGCTAAACAACCTTCCCAGGACTCCAAAATCCCACCAAACGGATCACAACAATAACCCTAGCCCTCTCAGATCCCACCTCGATCCTAATACGACCCTCACAATTCCAATTACTTATATACCCTACAAAAAATTAAAGACTCTCTCGTTGTTGCATGCCATTTCATATATTTGCTATATAATTGTACATTTTAGACTGATAAAAAAGCATTTCTCTAAAAGCTTGTACTTCTTTTTAAAAGTCAGTAGTTCACCTACCTGCTGCCTGTCGGGTGAAACTGGACACCCGGGAACAATTCAGAACCGGTTATTCTGCTCGTATTTGCATATTTCAAGGGTGTGGCACAGATAGGTCTTCAGTTACCCAAGGTGTGTCCCCAAAATCTGATGCCTTACTCCTACCTGCTGAAGGTCACACTCACCCAGACCCTGTTCTCTGTCTGAAGATGAGTATCAGCGACGCTCAGAGAGAATCCCAAAAGCCAGCCAATCAGCTGCGATCACTGGAGGGAGGGAACCTCCGAACCACACCCTGGCTTTAGCTTCTGGCACCACTGGACTGTTAACAGCCCCGGCCCGTAACTGTTCCTCTGCTAAACTGAAAAATGTTCCTTTTTCAGTTCACTGGCTCAGGATAGCTCAGTCTTTCAGAGCCAGGCGGATGCTGAAGATCCAGATGCAGAGTATCACACATTTGTCATGTATCCGGGGGCATGTCCTTTGGAAACAAGCAATATGAACTAATTTTATCTCACTATACTTCATTCACTAGCGCAGTGCTTCTCAGCCCAGTCCCTCGGGACTCCCAGACAGTCCATGTTTTTGCTCCATCCCAGCTTCCAGCCCACCTGAACCAAACAATCAAGGACACTGAATACCTGGTACGGGTATGTTGGATTCTGGGTGAGAGCAAAGATGTGGACTGTCTGGGGGTCCCCATGGACTGAGTTGAGAGAAGTTTCACTAGATATTTTTGCCTGATATGCCTAATAAACAATCCAGTTCAGAGGCAGCAATGCATTGTGGGTGGAGCAGAACGGCACTGCATACTGTCCCATCTCCTCATACACCGCAGCGAATCTGCACAGGAACTGGCATGGGGTGCAAATTTGGCATGACTGTGTCCTTCAGCTGAGGGCTGCACTCACACGAAGGCTGGACATTTCCATGTAATCATACAGCTTCACAAGCCCCGCCTCCTAGCTCACAGGATGCTGGTCATTCCCCCCCCCGACACAGTTACCCTGAAGCTTTCTCAGAGCATGCATACAGGTAGGAGGGAGAAAGAGGAGCCGCACTCCTCGCTTCTCTCTGCGCCTCCCAGCCAGTGTTCACAGTCAGGAAACACAAGCTGAGGCAGACTTCCTCATGCGCTCATGGGGAGTGAGAAGTAACGAGCTGGGGGCTATTAACGGAATATGACATTATCTGGTAAACAAGGGGCCTGTTGACTAGGCCACGCCCCTCCGGCAGGAAGCTTCTCCCTGGGCTCTGAGGTACAGGCAGTCGCTGGAGCCCATGCCAACCCAAATAAGACAGGGCCCAGTCCCACCCATCACCCCCCCGACTCCACCACCAAGAACTGGAAAGCAATGCTGCTCCCTTCCAAACTGAACCATTCAGTGTCTGTCTTTCTGTGTGTGTCTGTGTCTGTGTGTGTGTGTCTGTCTGTCTGTCTGTGTGTGTGTGTGTCTGTGTGTCTGTCTGTCTGTGTGTGTCTGTGAGGGGTTTTCGTAATTATTACATTGTGGAGACCAGATTTCCCCACAATGTGGTAAAAACCTGCAACTTTTTACCTTGTAGGAACATTTATTCAGTCCCCACAAGGATAAACTCAATTTTATAAAAATCTGTGACTGCAATCAAAAAACTAAAACGCCAAAAGTCTTGTATTTTGTTTGTTTGTTTGAGTACTTATGGTAAGTACTTATGGTATGGTAAGGTTAGGGCTGGGTAGGGGTTAAGATTGTCGTTGTTGGGATTAGGGTTATGCCCATAGAAATGAATGGAGGGTCCCCACAAAGATATAAATTCATGGACTGTCTCTCTCTCTCTCTCTCTGTGTGTGTGTGTGTGTGTGTGTGTGCGCGCCTGCACCTCACTAGCTCGTGACACATGGGCATCCAACATGCAGCAGTGAGTGGAAAAGTCCAGGATCCAAAGTGAGTGGTGGGTGAGGGGGTGGGAGATGATTTTGAAGTGAATAATGGACTTACGTATAACACAAGACAGCAGTCAGATACCAGCACAACCAACAGGAAACACAGGCCATGAACGCAAGTGCATTTGGCTTTCAAAGTGGACATTTCCTCCCTTGAAACACTCAATGGTGCATCTGATTCATTCCATAAGCAGCACAGACACACCTCAGACGGAAAGAAATATATCAAAGCAGCCCTTTCAAAGGACGTGTGTACGAATCCAGCGCCTGAACCAAACTATCCCACGTACACGGGAGTGAGAACCGGCCCCTCTTACAGGACACTTTCAAAGAGGTTTTTGTGAGATAAAAATAGGGAATCGTTCTGCAGCTGGCCGACGACCAAAAGCAACACTGAAATGCAAGTGCATGCAGCCTTCCCCGAACTGCGACCGCCAAAGCAGGGACATGAAATCAATAAGAGAGCAACACCCCACAAACATTTTACCAAAGGAATTAAATGAATAGGCCAATGGCTCGCTCGCCGTGTAACACGTTTTTACCCCGGTTTAGAGGTGTAAGTCCACTTAAAGGAGTGCAGACAGCCAAGTCAGTCATTTTCCTGGACCACGTCTAATGAAAGAGAATCAGAAAGTCGTCTTTCTCTTCAGGGATGGGTGACGTAGAGACACAAATGCTGGCGTATGAAAGAGAAGCTGACACCGGCCACATTTACACCATCTTTCAGTGACCAACGCAAACTTTTTAAACTGTGATATGCTCGCATCTGCACTGTGAGCCACTGGATCCTTGTATTTACAATGTGAGCCACTACATTCTTGCATCTTCAGTGTGATTTGCGGGTGTTGCTTTTGCATTGTTTTCATATTCATTGTGTTTTGTCGTGCTGACATTGTATTGTGATTGCCCAACCGAAGAATCATTTCCCACTCTGCAAACACAATAAAGTCAATCTTATCTCTTCTGCAAACCGTATTTTTCCTGTCCGGGAAGCCATTCCCACATTTCAGTTCATTACATCCTGGTACTCCGTGTCAGCGGGTGATGGGGGACCTGGAACAGGGATCAACGAGACAGGCACTATGTGTGATCAGACACGGGAGATTGGCATCAGGCGTGAAAACAGGTCGTCTGGGATGAAACCTTCAAAGGAAGCGCTAGACACTTTCACTCGACCACTGTAAACTTCGAGTAAAAGCCTCGATTCAGAGGCACGACGTCCCGCGGGGCAGCATTTAACAGAAGCACCGATGTGTGACTGGGGGAAAGGGCAGGGCACACAAGCGGCAAAGTGAACAGAGTGTACAGTCAGGGTGTGACTGTTTGGTAAAGGGTGGTACACATGTCCAGGAGCTGAAAGCCCTCAATATCCCAGAGAAACAGAGACCTATTCTTGTGCATGAAAGTTGAAGGCTCTCTGGCCAGTCCTCACCACAGTCCAGCCCACACACACACACAGCACTGACAACCACACTCCCCCATCTGAGGTATTGGGGTAATGTCTGAAGCAGCTCTGGACTCAAGCATTGAAGCCACCATCCTAGAGTATAGAAAGTGAGCTGGAATCACATCAGCAATGACCATTCCAGATAAATAATTCATCTACAGTTTAGCTTTTACTGCTTACTTACGCATGCCTGGCTAAAGTATTTTTTCCAAAGTCAACTTAACATGCTACCCAGATTCTTCAATACTTTGCACAGGAGAACAACAGTAGGGTTTTCTTGGTTATAAAACTAGTAACCTTGACATTACAAGTCAAAGGTGTAAACAACCACAGATGCTGATCCCTGGACCAATGATGGCTAATTATTGATTGAGTAACAATGCTCTATTATAGTATTGGTTATCCCTCAGATCATTTGGGTATAAAATGATCAGAAATAAGCAGTGAGTCTTTTGCTATTAATGCACTTGACTCTCCACTCCACCCACATCTTTGTCAAGGCCAATTATGGAGCCAAGCTATGACAAAAACCACTCCAGCCTGGGGCTGCAGCACTTGCAAATAAATACAAAACTCGCCTCTATCGACAGCGCACAATCAGGAGTTACCGACTGAGGTTGTTTTCATTGTCCCCGTTTTCAGGTCTCATGCTGAGATGAGTTTTGTCCCATTTTTATGCTTTATGGTGGAGGCAGAAGATCAAGCATTAGCCAGATGACTGCAGTAGACAGGGCACCACAACAGTGAAAATCAGCTGTAACCCATTTAGGCAATACAACGAAGTCACAACATACCCCAAAACAAAACATTCAACTAAGGAATTTGTAAATGCTAAAAATGGTAGCAAAATTATTTCACCCCCTACCCGTGGGTCGTTTCGTTAAATAGGTACAAACACGCACTTAATTAACCTGTCAACTTCACTGTTATAAGGTTCATGTAAGGTGCAGTCAGTCACCCCGGCACACAGGCTGTCCCATCAGTAGCGGACGTGTAACGAATGACGTCATGCCGGTGGTCATATGACATCACAACCAGGTAAACAGGTGCGGGGAATGCACGCTCACGCGTCAGCAAGTCATGAAAAGCATGGCCTTGTGCGCGACAAACGAGTCACACTGAAGCACCAAGGTGGCCGCCTATAAGCATACTGCCATCCAAGCTCTTGACTTTAAAAAGCAAGACGATCGCGTTTACCCTAAAATTAGACAGTGAGATCCTGGTGCAACATTTGCGTTGATGTTTATAGCAAACCCAAAAATATGTCCCAGAAACGCTGTTTGCCGGTGTGCATCGTGGTGTTTACGTCCACGGCATAAAAAGTTGCACGGTCGTAGCAGTACTCACCACAGTGTCGCCCTCCGTTATGCTCGTCCTTTACTTTCTCCTGTATGCTTGCGTTAAGTTATTACTGTAATGTGAATTTTGGCTGTTGAAATACCCAAAACAAAACCACTGTTCAGACAAATATCCCAGGTTCAATACTAATTAATCAGTCGATATTATTCTACGTCTTCTGTCCTTTTTTGATTGGCTGCCCTTTGTTCAGTCTAAATAGGTAGTGAAAACACAGATAAAAACAAAACTTTCAATTTCTGTTTGTTTTCATGAAACAACCTCTAACCCCCGTAACCCTCCTCCGAGTTCGACACAATGTAACTAGTCTTTCCTGTTCCTGCTAACATCGACCTAACGCAATGAATCGCGTGGCGTTTAAATGACACGTCAAAGAGCCAATAGCAGCTTGAAACGGACATGCGAATGTTTCTGTTGACCAATCAGAGATACAGGCTTTGGAGGGTACCTCCTCTCCCCGTTTGTATGACGGAGGTCGTTGCAGTTTCTTTCCCAGCAGAAAAATTGTATCGTAGAGACGTGGAAGTTCGCGACAATGAATGAAATACCAGTATGCGATAACAATGAATTAAATTTGAAATTACGATGTTTTATAATTAGTTAGTTTCCACGAAAACTATTGGAGAATTCTCTCTGAATTTCGTGGGAAAAATATTTCTGAATGGTCTTTACTCAGAATGATACTTATCACATGTGACTAAAACCAGTAAAATAGAATCGTTTCTTAGCCACAGCCCAACCACGTTAGACATGTGCGAATACTCGAGAAAAGTGTCACCGCTACGTTTTTCCGAGCAGCGCTGCCTGTCTACCAGCGGCTTCTCCTTTTAGGGACTACAACATTGCCAAGATTACTGACCGGAGGACTAAAATATTCTCAACACTTTGACTCCCTCCCAGAGTTATTCATCCAAAATGATAATGAAAATTCAATTCGTTTACAACTTGCACGCGGTTTATATGTTTATATTTATGAGTGACACCGTGGAAATAGGAGGATTCACGATAGTTTAACCCAGCCAAGTCATAGATAACACTGGTTACCAATCTTAAATGATTCAAATCTCCCAGGGGGACACTGCTGTTTCACATGGAATTCACACAAATTAAATTAGTACCTATCTAGCTGCTACAGTGGACATGTAAATGAGAAACCTTGCAAATCACCTTGGATTAAGGTCCCTGACAGCACCACGAATGTGCTCCTTTTCTAGCAGCCGTGCCCATGAGCAGATTCTGTTACAAGCCTATATTGTCCTTTATTTAGATGCCTCTGATGTCATAAGAGGAAAGGGGGAGGGAGGGAGAGAGCTGCCAAAACACAAGTATAGCCACTTAGATGAGCCACAGGTTGAACATCCTATTTCACCAAATTGCATCATTGTTAAAGGTCAACTTGAATGGCCTGAGTCACATTTTCAGCTCACGCCCAAGAGCCCTTCTACACCCAGCCATTCACAGATGACTCACAACCACCTCACTTCCTATGATGCTGCTGGAACCCCAGACAAGACAAACCTCACCACATTCTGAGGATGACTGGAGGACATGAACCACTCGTCAAAAAGAATTTGACTATGCATCTAACCATGGAAGAAACAAGGCAGGTGTAGAGAGGCTCTGTGGGCTGTTTTGCATGGGGTGAGTCAGGGTGCATGCAAGTGCATCGGCCATCAAATGGCTCTGATTGGATACTCGTAATCATTGTCGAGTTCCATTCTCTTTATCTAGCAGGAAAATATCACTTTTGCCATCCGCCCCCAAAACTACCATTTTCCACCCAATGTTTCCTTACTTTCACCATTGTGTATGTGGCTAATGCTGATGTTTCTACAGGGCAGTAAAGGGATAAAAATGAAAGATCCACACCTGCTGGAATCCAAGTAGAATGTGTTTGTATTTGTATAAATATGAAGGGGATACTAACAACGAGGTAAATGAATAAAAACAAAAAAAATTCATGGCTAACAAACATTATATTCTGTACACCATCCGCCCCTAAGAAAAAAGGAAAATTACATGTCATAACAAAAATGGTACATTTTTTTCTTCCTCCAGTGTGTCCAAAGCTGACAGATGCCCCCTAGTGTCAGGAGTCCAGCACTGGAGGCTGGCTGGGTGCACCACTCCTGGTGCGGAGCTGTGACTGGGCGATGTCAGCCAGGGCGCTCTGGATTTTCTCCAGCAGCATGTCCCCACGGTTCACCACCTCCTCCAGACGTGCGGCTGCCTCGTGGTTTTCTTCTTCCAGCTGCCTCAAGCTGGCTGCCTGGGAGACCGAGAGCAAAGACAACATCAGCCAGGGGCCTCATAAGACTGAGGTGCACTGCAAGCTCCACCTTTGCTACTTCTGCTGGCAAACATCTGCAATATTCAGCTGCAAACAGACTGGAGGGAAGTAGGTGTGAGGTGCCCCCTGCTACCTGCAGTGCTGCAGTGGACTCCTCACTGGGCAGGGAATCAATCAGCACGTCAACGTCCTTTGCTGTTCTGGCAATCAGTGCAGCAAACAGCTGTGCGTACTCTAAAAGAAAAGTTCGTCATTTAATACAAATGTTAAGGAAGCTATTTACATATAATCAGTAAAAAAAAAACATTACAACATACCTAATTAAGCAAAATAAAGAAACACACAAATCCGTACAAAGACTTGCAGTTATGTTAAAAACATAAAGAAACTCCGTGTAAAACTTTAAATATCAACGGTACAATAAAGCAATGGCATTGATACTGCTGATTGGAGCTCTAGAGTCCCGGCCTACCTTCTGTGGGGTTTGACGGCTGGTCCTTGTTGATGGTAGTCTGGATGTTGTTAAACGATGCGGGCGGCGCACATTGTTGCAGCACTCCGATAGCGTTGCAGAACTGGTCTGCGAGCTAAAGAAGACGAAGAAGTAACAGTTACTCCCATTTTAATATAATAAACAGCAAATGTATTATTTGGTATAAAAATCGGGACAATCCTAAGCTTTATATTTACATGTAAGTCTCGGTAAACAGTCAAGTTTCCGTTGAAATAACACGCTATGACATTGCAGTTAGTTACGTCGTCTACACTATAGCTACAGACATAACGACAAATCCAGCAACTAGCCAACTAACACAAAATGTATATTCGTAAAAAGTTTAATACTCATACAGAATTAACAGCATCCTGGAGTTGCGTTAACCTATCAGCCATTTTTTCCGCGTATACACCGGAAATGACTTCTCTTATGATCGCTAGGGAACCAATAAAAACGGTGCTCCGAAAACCATCGATGTCAAACCGGAAGTATGCGGTGGAGCCTTAATACGAGGGTAGATGTAGAAGCCGTTCTGTCAGAATACGTTATGTGCAATGACCGATTTTTGTTAATTTTGTTGGCTTGTCGTACTTTATTCAAAATATAGATTGAGAAAATCTTAAACCTAGGTCTGGTGATTCTGGGGCCCTCCTGTACAAGCTTATCGCTCAAATAGCTCTACACCTGATCCCTACCCCGCAGGTGGCAAATAAGACTACACCTCCTTCTCTTTTGCTGCTGCATACTGTTCGATTTCTGTATGAGTGTAATAAGAGCTGTCTGTATAATTGATGCATGATTGAAAATGGTGTAAGTGGGTTCTGTTCTCCAGAAATGCTGTGTTCTGCCTGTGATTTTCATGGGCAGAATATCAAGGCACAGTCTGGTATGAAAAACTAAAGGTGACCTCCCACATATTTGAGCATGAGGTTGTTTTTTGGCTTAGTGCATCAAGGACTTCCAACATGCACTCGAGCAGTCTGCCACCAAGTGTGAAGCGGGGATGAGAATCAAAACCTCGACATATGGGACCATAGTACCTGCAAAGTGATGTCTGCTACTGTGACTCTCAGTAAGTTAGTGTGAAGATGGAGGTAAAATTTAATCTATAGAGTCATCATTTTGTGAACTCAAACCACAACCTCCAAAACATGGATTTTTTACATAGCCACACTGATACTTATATACTCATACGATTACTACAGAAACTAAAGTAATGTAAGTATGTACTGTATTATTGTATATGGTTGAAATTACAATAAAAAGCCACTTGACTTGACTTGTAATGTGCTTGCTATGGGGAATTGCTTGTCATCACCTGAACCCAGGTTTCATACTCAGGACTCAAGACTTCGGTCTTGTAAATATTTGTCCAAGCCATTCAATTTTATTTAATAAATTTGTAGTGCAGTGCAGCGTTCTGACAGTCCGATTTGCTATTTTGCCACTAAATATTTCCTTGCAGAGGTCTGTGTGCTCCTTCTGCTATTCATAAACAGGGAGATTCGTTTGAACAGGCCAGCACTTAATTTATATTTAAGTGCCTGTGTGTAACCAGTTAGGTACTCTAGTACACACAAAGTTTAACAAAGGAAGTGTATCAAATTTTGTGATGGTCGTCGCTAAGAGAAATAAACGTGGATGATGCCGCCGTTTCATACTCCATTCCCGCCTCCTCAGAGAATGTGGGCCTATTACTATGAAAATCTCAATATTATGTTTGTTTTTAAGGAAAGAATTATATTTGATGCTCTACTTAAACATATTTATTGGGATAATCGCTCTTTTCACTTCTTAATTCTATTATTATTCCAAAATTCTGCATTAAGAAATGGCCCTAAATAGCCGTAAACGTAAGGTGATCGCTTTACATAGGGCCATTGCTGGAAAACGTGACAGCATGCAGGCTGCATCTTCCTTCCATTAACAAATCCAATTAAAAGTTGGTGCTGATACAGTTTACGTGTCCTGGGCGGAGGATTTTCAGCTTTTCTACGCGGTTAGAGAGCGCGGATCAGTCGAGCAGCGTGAGCGCGCAGGGCGGTGTTTGCTGGTGCGTCCCGTGGTCTGGGCAGCACGGCAGAGAAAGGCTGGCTTGTGACTAACGCATGGCACTTGAGTGCCTTCTTTAAGGCTAAGATATGTACGTGCCCCTGAGTCTGCTGGGTGCGCATCTGTTGCTCTTAAACGTAACCATATTGCAGTATATGAGCTGTCCGTATTAATATAAGGAGGGCCAATGAAGCGGCGCCTGAAGATGCCTCAACTCTGGAAAGCATTCAGTTTTCTTCTTGTTATGTGCAACGGAGTCGTAGCGCAAACGGCAAGTACGTTTTAAATGCTATTATTGTTAGGCTGAGTTATTGATTTAACGGTGAAAAAAAAATCATTTTTGAGCAGGTAATCTAGAGGCGATAATACGTACGATGCAGCCGCGGGACTCTGTTTAGTCACGTGCCCCCTTTAATTCAACTTCGTAGATGGAAATTGCAAATGCATTATTGCCGAAATGTAGCCAGTATCTTGTCTCCCCGGTGGAAGAAACAACGAAAATGCTTAATTGTATAATCTGGTGTGTTATCAAATCACTGCAGGGTTATTAATTTAGTACTTGGGGAAATGTTCTTTGATATTTTTAGTCAAAATGATTAAATGCGTGGTGAATTTCAGTAAGCTACTGCGAAAGGACCAATTAAAGGTTAGCAGGCAATTTCTGCTAATCTTATTTTCACGTGTGAAATTAATGTGCGTGTTCTAAAATCTTCATAACAATATATTAAGTTATATTAGGTTTGTCTGTTAGATTCTCTGAATTAAGGCATAACATTATTTCGGTTGAGTATATAAATTATAGTTCATAGATGTGATCGTGTCCACTTTTGGTTTCTGGGAAACTTTACGCAGTCTTCAGGCTGAGTAAAAACGTCTCAAAACCTTATTTGTGTAAACATGCTCTAGTCAGGGTGAAAGAGTGACAACTGGATATACCCACATTTATTCGCTACCAGTATAACGATGTTGGAGCTTCTGATGAGAGTTAATTCGGCAGATGCGGCCTGTGCCTCGATATTCTAGTTATAAGAAATGACTGCATCTGTTGTTTGCCAATAAGCGCAGGTATGCGTGAGTTGACGCAAATCGCCGACATTTGTCAAATTAAGTTTTAAATTTGGGGAAAAAAAGTTTTAATGCAGCTTCTAAAAACCGCCCTTGGAAAGTAGTGTAACGATGGTTGCTGCTATGAGTAGCAAAAGTAGTTTTAGTAATAAACTGAACAGCACAAAACCACGAGGCAACGTACTTAACCATGAACAACATTCGCAAAAATAATTTCCAGAGTGTTTCAAAATAACATGGTGGATAAAAATTGTGTATCACTTTGGATCGCATGAGGTGGAGTGATGCTTCTTTTCAGGGCATTAAGTGTGTATGTTATATACGCTCTCAGGAAGTGTTATATACACTCAGGAACATTTCTATACCATTGATGGTACATAAATGCTGTTGGTACAATGGGATCTTCCTGAAAGTCCATTTCTCTATCTAAAAAGGTAAAATAACAGGGGTACAACCCCAATGACAAGCAATGGTACAGTTTTTTTCTTCTGAGAGTTTGTACACACGTAAACAAAATAAATATTTACATACACATAGGCCTATACACAATGAATTATGATGTTTTTGTTATATGAGCAGTGATTTAGCTGCTTGAGATGAAGAATATAATGGCAGCGCAGTATATCCTCCTGAGACCCGACCTATTCATTTATGTCCATTGTAGTGGACATTGTATTTTTGCATTTATTTTTTCACTGATGTTGGGAAACGTATTTATTTTTTTTGTACACTAAAGAGGACATGCTGTGAAATTAAAATAAGAATAAATTTGAAAAATTCTAAATTGTAAGATGTCTTATTTCCTCCAAAGACAACCTACAATTGAAGGACACTTTTTTTCCTTGGGTCTCAGGAGGATATTTAGAGATTGCATGGCAAGTCTCCAGCCTTGTGATTGGATTTAGGACGTTGTGGAAGTGCTCGTAGGCACTGTAATCTTAGGGCTGTTTGCAGTTAATCACAGAAATCCCATCATAAGTAAACTGGAAGAAATCATATAATCACATTGTCAGGTCTAGGAATTAATTTAGAGGCTTCAGGGATTTCCCTGTGAAAATATGGGGTCATCCTGCATCTTCAGATCTTCCCGGCACACCTGACGGAAACTGCAGCCAAAGCTCATCCCAGTGGCCTGTACTACGAAGCGGGGTTATTGGCTTATCGGGGTCCAATAGCACAAGACTATGTGTCACTGAAAGGCTGTTGCATGTATATGAGTTTTTTTTCCTGTCAAACAGTAAGCAGTGTAACCAAAATGGAGTTTACTTAGCATCCCGCTGGTCTGGCAGTTTAATATGATTATCATAAGAAAGCCTTTCATAAAAATGTAATCACCGCTGACGGTGAGTATACACATGTGGTTGTGCTGAGGTTTCCGTCTCTCTAATGCTTCCTTTAGGTGGAGCTGGGAAGATTTACTCGAGGTTTGTAGGGACTCTGGTTGGTACTGGGTCACGCTTACTTGTGATTATGTGACACCAAGGAATTCGTGCCAAAAGCTAGTTTTGGGTCAGATGCTCATTTTAAGTTTCTGACCTTTGCTAAAACATTTGCAGCATTGTTAGAATAATGGATAAGATAAGATCTGTCATTGGATGTGTTTGTAGTCAGAATTTTTTTAGTTTCACTAAACGCCTATTCGGAGTACAATTTAGATACATGACACATGCATATTCGTTAAAGGGTTCACCTCACAACTGAAAAAAATATCTTAGAGGTGTTTAAGTGTCATCTATCCATCTAGGTGGTTCTGCTGGGAGTTGCCTAGCTTTGAAGATATCGGCCATGGAAATGTCGGGCTTCGCTCGAATATAACGGGAGCACAGAAGATACCGCTGAGGTGTTCATGCTCGTATCTCCTGAGCGGTGATATGATTGGTGTGTGGAGTTCGGTAGAAAGAACCTTTTTTCCTACATTAAACTGCTTACTACAAATTATGTGGATTAACTTTAATAACCGGGTCATGATTTCTGGTAAGAGACATTGCTGTGGAATTTTTCTAATGTTTTTCTTTAATCGCCACAGAAGGATTTCCATTCACTCGCATTACATTCAAAAGAAATTTGACATTTCTACAGCCAATATCTTCAAAACTAGGCAACTCCCAGCAGAACAACCTAGATGGATAGACTAAAATGTATCTTTTTTTTCAGTTTTGGGGTGAACTACCCCATTAAGAGACAGGGACATATTTCATTGGATGGGTAAACAGTAGGGCTGCTGTATTATTTTCGTAAAAAGCCGTTGGGTCCTATATAATCTCAGAATAGATTTTTATGACTTTTTGTTCCAGAACAAATACTTGTGACGCCACTGATTAGATTAAAGTGTTCTGGTTGAAGCCAGTAGGGGGCAGGTCACTGCCGTAGAGGCTCCAACACTCTGTCCACGCAGATAGCTAATGGTGCCATCAGATGGGTAAGTTTGTCTGATTCTGAGGAGTCTCTCTGGTTTTTCAGATCGGGTCGTCTTTTCCCTGGGAACCTTCCAGAATGTAACTGTACCTGGAAACACCACGGTGGAGGTGCAGGTCTCCGGCATCCCAGTGGAGGTCACCTACCTCACGTTCCAGTTCCACACCTGGCGCCACAACATAACTCTGTCCTACACGGAGGTAAGAGATTCACCCACTGGCACTTCACCACAGTACTGATGTGTAGGCCACGCCCACCGATCCTCACCTTGTCCAATAGCAAGCTGCCAAAGGGACTGCCACGCCCACTCAGCCCTAGCTGAAAGCCAAACGCACACTCTTTTCTTCCCCAGGTCCCAGCACTGGGATCGTCTCACACAGCCACTGATGCTGGACTGCTGTCACCCGTGCTGAGGTCACAGACCTCACTGACCTGGTATCTGCTGGCTTCTGACAGTCCGCCGCTTACCGCCGTGGGCGTGGTCCTGCCTTACCACGGCGGCGGTATGTACTGTTCACCAGTGTCCAGCATTTAGTGTCGAAAAGACTCTAATCTCATTCATAAAACAAGTTCACATCCAAAATGCGTACAAAATTTTAATCCAAGGTAGGTCAGAAATGCGTCGTTACTGAATTAAGCAATTAACACTCCATTTAATTGAAACAGAAAAAAATTTATATACATATATGCTCAACACAAGCACTCCAGACGACCAATATCAGGTGTACAAATAATTTTCTGTTTGACCCCTAAGATCCAGTGCCAGGTGGCTGTAACCTGGAGAGTGGTCTGAACTTTGACCCCAGTATCCACCTGCGATACACTGTGTTTGAGACCACCATCACTGTGGCCGCTGCCAATGTTGGATACGCCAGGTAAGGATCAGTCTGAGAAAATGAAAGCCACATTCGGTCATACGTTCGTCTTAGTCAGCCGTGTCCCATGACCTGGATTAGCGAATCACAGAACACATTGCGAATGGCCTTGTGGAAGGCGGGCACATCTGAATCAGCAGGACCAATCGCACAAGGGATCACAATGGCCAGTCTGGGTCTGGGTCAGGACATTAGTGGAAATTTTTTTGGAGCTCTTTAAGTTGTTAATAGTATGTTGAGGTAGACTGGCCTCCCGTGGGGGGTGTACCCCAGGACTGTGTAGGTTGGTTGAGGTTTTGGTCTTTACAGAGGCTTCCACAGAGAGGTCTTTCATGAGGAGTGTGCAGTCTGTGACCTCTGGATGGGGGGGTCACTTCTTTGTTTTTTTGTGTTAGGGGGGCCTCACCTCCATCGTGCAATGCCACCGGGGGCCCCCAAACTCGCCTGGAGTATGACGTCTACCAGTACTTCCTGCGGGAGGGCGACCTTTCGGAGGAGACCCTCCTCAGCCATATCCAGAAGGTGGCCGACGTAGGAGGTGTGACAGCCCACGGGACCAAGGTGGGAGTAACACGGGGATGAGGTCACAGCTCACGGCAGCCAGGCGGCACGGACGCGGCCACAAACACAAGCACTTCCTGTCTGGGGCTCAAACAATGCTGCTTAGTTGGAAGATAACAAAGTTTTCCCAATTAGGTTAATTCTTCTTCCCGTTGATACAGCAGAAAGCATAACTGCTCCCCAGGAATGCAGATGTGGAATGTAGATGCGGAATGCAGATGTGGAATGCAGATGACGTATAACAACTTTATAAAGTCATTATTTAATTTGTTCCTGCCCCCTGTCCCTGTTTTATTAACTGTCTGTTCTTTTCAGGTGAAGACGTGGGTCCCTGGCGATGAACTGACTGCATCGTTTGGCTCCGCCCCTGGACAGGGTGTCATATACTCGGTCGTGGTCAGGGACCCTGTGTTGAACACTTCTGCCCTCTATGTCCCAGTTCACAGCTACGCCTGCAGCTTTTCCTCTGCCCTGGATGGCTGTATGACTCTGGGTGGGTGACTTCACTATGTCGTTCTCCCATCATTCTCCTCTGTAAGTGACCTCTCTGACTACAGTTCCCTTCATGCTCCTCTGTAAGTGACCTCTCTGACTACAGCTCCCATCATGCACCAGCAATTACTCTAGGCTTTGTTCCCATCATGCACCCCGGTGGTCACTCAGTTCCCATCGTTCTTATTGGAACATTAAAAACCTTTGTTCTTTTTTATTTCAGGAAAGATTTCTACCAAGGTGTTTTTTACTGTTGTTGGTTTAGCTGGCCTTTGTGTTTGCTTCTTTGGACACAGATTCTTCAAATGCGGTAAATGTCATTTCTGTCTTAATTTTCCGATATGTATTTTATTGCAAAAATCTTCCCCAGTAGGCTATTGATTTACCTGACCTAAACTGTTGGTGTTACACCTTATAATAATGTTCTTCTGGAGCTTATTAGAAAACCTTAATACATCTAGAGACTGTGATCTGTTTCTGGTGCCTTTGTCTGTGGTTGTAAATGGCAGTGGAATGCCGTCATTAACCAGAGGTGCAGATTTCAGGTCCAGAGAGTATAAATCCAGACTTTGAAGATTTTGTTTCAACCAACCAGTTGAGTATAAAGAGTCACAGTCACAGAGGACTCGACTGGTTGGTTGAAACAGAATCTTGGTCTGGATTTGTACACTCTGGACCTGAAATTTATACCTCTGTCATTAACTTTTGACACGAGTGGAAAACTGTAATATTGATGATTAAATTTCCCCCCATAGAATGCAGTTAAACAGTTCATGTGAGACACAGCATTGATGCTGATTGACCAGGGAATCCATTGAAAAAGAAAGTCATTAAAGTGATGTTTTCCCCTTGCTGGCGTGATCCTGTGGCTCAGAGCTCTTCTGGATGGGACTCTGCTTTGCTGCCTCCATCTTCTATGTCATCATCACAGAGACCACGACCCTCAACTATGACCGTGAGCGAAGCTTCATACTGTATGTTGCAGTTGGGGTCATAAACATCTGAGAACCGAGCCGTACGCGAGCCGTACCCGAGCCGTACCTGCGTGAACATGGTTACTAGCGTGACCAAACTGAGCTGGTTGCATCACTGCCATCTGATTGGTCAAAATGCATGGAGATACCGGTGTTCTGCGCATGGATTTTGTGAAGAAAAAAACGTATATTCTATATATTAATTATTAGTAGTTTTGCAACTACTTAAAAATACAATAGAACAGCTGAACGGAATGGATTCACACTGCAAATTTACAGGGGTCAATGCTAACTCAACTAGCATTTGATTACTTGCATAACACGACAATTCCCACAGGCGTGCTATCAGAAATTAGCCTACAGTAAAAAAAAAAAATTATAAAAAAAATTATAATAATTGCACACAGTAAATCATGTTACACCGTGTTTACATCACTGTCAGTCTCCAAACCCCTCAATGCCTTTACAGTGTCGATCCTTCTGCAGTGGAAAACCGAGGAGACCTGGAACCGCACTGTAACTAGTCTTTTATCGCAGTGTGGCTCGGGTACGGGTCCATTCCGGTACGCCTGGGGTAAAGCCCCATTAGGGATTGATGGTTTTCTGAGTCAGTGAGGGTGTAGTGTTTGTTGTTGTTGTTGTTTAGAGTGCTATGGAAGGTTCCGCCCTCTCCCCCGGCAGTCCGGCTAGCCCTGACCTCTCTCATGGGACTGGTGGGAGGCGTCCTGCTGGTGATGAGCTGGTGGCGTTGCGGCTCCATCCTGTGCTGCGTGGGGGTGGTGGGGCTCCTCCTCGGGTTCCTGCTGGCCGCCTCCGTCTTCTTCACACCTGTCGGTGAGGTTCTGGGCAGCTGCAGGGGGTTGCAGACATTTCATGTGACCACTAAGCTACTGCGGGCTGCAGGAACATGAGAACCACCTCAGGAGCATCATGTTCGATAATTCCGTAGAGTTATTTTGTCCATGATGTTTAAGGACCTAAGACAAAGCAAATTTGATTATTTGTATCAGGAGGACACTTATATTACCGCACTGTCTGCCATCCACGTCACCATTGATCGGCAGCTGTTTCTCTCCATAGGCAGCCTCTCCATCTTCCAGTCGGACGCTGTGTTCTGGGTCACTTTTGGCGCTATCGTTCTGGCCGTTCCTCTAGTCTTCCTCCGATGGCCTAGAGAGGTATGGCGGACATTCTCAAGCAGGAAGCTGCCAGTAGTCCCAGTATTTCCCTTCAAAGATCGGCCTCCGTTGTGTGATCTGACCCTCTGTGAGCAGCCAGAGGATGGTGTAGCGAGGGCTATGTCACTGTGCCAGTTAACATTGTTGGTGTTTACCGCCACCCTAATCAAGCACTACAAGTAAATATTAAATTAACTCTTGAGGTGTTGAAGTAACATGTTCTGTCAACTAGCTACGATCTCCTGACTCTGCTAGCTAGCTACGATCTCCTGACTCTGCTAGCTAGCTACGATCTCCTGACTCTGCTAGCTANCTAGCTACGATCTCCTGACTCTGCTAGCTAGCTACGATCTCCTGACTCTGCTAGCTAGCTACGATCTCCTGACTCTGCTAGCTACGATCTCCTGACTCTGCTAGCTAGCTATTTATTTAGTATTTGAAGCTTCTAAGGGGGGGTGAAGGGGAGTGGGGCCGCAGAAGCGGCAGACCCGCCCCTGGACACCCGCCCTCTGGGGCCCGTTACCACGTGCCCGAACCCACTGCGCGTCTTGCAGGGCAGCATCGTCTGCTGCGGCGTCGTCGGGTCCTACTCCGTCCTTCTGGCGGTGAGCACCTACATCTCCACCAGCCTGTCCTACCTCACCCTGGACGTCCTCAAGCGGCTCGTGGATGGCAGCTTCAGCCGGACCTCCGCCACCGTGGCCTTCCAGAGCATCGGTGCGTGCGGCCTGCCACAGTGTCGGTCAAAGTCCATGCAGTCACTGCCCAGTTTCACTTTGTCTCTGACAGTTGGGGGACAGCAGAGGTAAATCTTGCTCAGGGGATGGGGGACAGGCAAACGGTGAAGCTTGTCGCAGGGGTATTGGCCAGTCCTGACCAGCTTTCTTCCGTAGGCGATGATTCCACTGAATCTGGTTTTGACGTGAATCTCTCTCCCATAGATTACATCCTGCTGACGGTGTGGGTGGTGCTGGCGGGGGGCAGCGCCGCCCTGCAGCTGCATCGCGAGCGGGAACGCCCCTTCTTCCCGCCCAGCCCCTATCTCATGTGGCAGCAGGAACGCGAGCGGCGGAAGACCAACGTGCTGGACCCCAGTCACCACGTGCCCCCGCTGCCCTCCCGGCTCCAGGGCCGCCTGCTGGGCTTGATTCGCCGCAAGGAGCCTGCAGAAGAGAGGACGCCTCTGCTGCTGTAAGCCCTGTCCCTCCCCATGTGGGCCACGCCCTTCCCGGTGTGAGTCCTGCCCCCGCTAACCAGCTAGCGTCATAGCCCTGGGACCTCACCCAAGGTTCTGTGGGGGACTGGATATCTGGGATACTTGTGCACGTCACCCAGGCGGAATGGCCTGTGACCTGGCTAGGTGACAGTTCTCGCCTTTCACATACCAGCCAGCCACATCAAGACATCTGTCGTGTTCTGTCTCCACTGACCAATCACCATGCCGGCAGTTCAGCCTCCTGGCCAATCACACATGGGCATGTGTGGCACATTCTGCGGGGCACGTATGATGTTCCTGTGGTGCATACAGAGTAAATGTGCATAAAGCCTGTGATCTGGCTGTGTTTTTAAGCTGGTGCGATGCCTCTTCCGAGAGGAAAGTGCTTTGTGCAGGGAGTGGGGAAATATGGCAAAATATTTTGCCCAAAAATTACCCTTTCTTCATATCTTCCGTGGACCTGTTTCTTTTTGCAGGACCACACCCACTATTATATAATACACTTGGGATAAAATGCCAAGAATGGGCTGTTGTAATTTTCCAGTTTTTAACACACCACTAAATGCCTTTTTTGTTGTTTATACTTTGCTGATTCATTTTGAAGGGCCTCTTAATATTCTATGGACATTGGATGTGTGTAACCATGTGACCTTACTTGACCACACCCAGTGGGAGGAGTCACCACTTAACCAATCAGAGATGGTGCTCGGTTCACTTTTATTGCATTTGTTGTCTTTATTTTAATTACATGATTTGGCCCCCACCACCACCACCGTTGTTTTCAAGCTGTATCATTAATAAAGTTTGTTTTTACTAGCACATGTGATGAACATGGTATTTTTTTAAATATCATCTTGTCTTGGTAAAGTTCATTTCACAGAATCTGACCAGTGAGGACTCCAACAAGAAGAGTTTCCGATTCTTTTTTTAAATTATACTGTGTAAACTACAAACTACGTTATGGCTTAAAGCTAATATATAAATACATGTATATTTAGAAGTAGCTGTTAGCCAATCAAAATCTGCCCCCCTTTGCCCACCTTGAGTGGAGCTGCATGTCCCAGTGCTTTGGGCAATCTTCCCCTGGAAATCTGTGGAAGGGATTCATGATTGACAGGCTGCAGGAGGCCCACCTGAGCCGCTTCCTTTACAAATAGGAAGCTTTGTGGTGATGGTGTCCAGGCAGGCCAAATATCAGCCATTTTCCACCTAATGCACTTCTATGAAATGAAATGTAGCTTTCTCTGCCACCAGGTCGGTTTATGAGCGACTGCTGTACCGAGCGTCCATCCAATAATCCGTGTCGTTTCTTCAGAAGACCACTAGATGGTGCTATCAACAGTAAAAATTCGTTATGAAGGCGATGTGTACGTTCATCAGGATTTTAACATGCAAAGCTGTCAGCTCGTTGTTCCACTACTGAGCCTTAAGGGATGCGGTGAAATGCGGTATAAAATACTACAAACATGTCGTAAATCAAACCGCTTCTGTCAAAAGGTGTTAGGATGCAGATTGATTGAGCAAATGGTGTTTTAACTGAGACTTGCGTATCAACTGTTTTATTTTCAGCCACAGGTAGGTAAACTCATTATAACTGGACAGAAAACGATTACATTTCATTCTAAATACACAAATTAACAACAATATCGGGTTAATCGGCTTTCACCATTTTGTTGTGGCATAAATTTTAGTTATAAATCTTTGTCACAATGTCTACTGTTAACAGCACTTCCAAAATGAAAGTCTTTGTGTAAAATTTGTACTAAAATTCCTTCCAGACGGCAGACTGGTGACTAAAGATGCTGTAACTAGGTAATTAGTTAATCACCCTGCTGGTTAATGTGGCCAGTGTCACTACCGTTCCCTGTCCTGGGTGGGGTCTAGCTGTTTAGAAGCCCACCTGTTTACGGTGCCTGAAGCCCAGCAGAGAGCAGCCAGAAAGCCTGTATGGCTCTCAGTCTTTAAACTTTGACAAGGGCAAAGTGCCGGGACCAGACAGCAGACGCCTGGCGTTGGCTCCTCCCAACCAGCGTGGGGGCCCCCCGCTCGCGTGCAGCATGTCCCCTGCCAGCGCACGCACACATGCTGCCTGTCGGGGTTTCACGTTCACTCCGCGCGTCTTGGGTGGTAAAGAGAGCTTAGCCTGTCAATATTTAAAGAGGGGCCGCACGGCACTTCTGGGCGTGTGGTGGGTGGGGCTGGGAGCAGGGGGAGGGCACAGTGGAAAAGGGGGCGGAGATAGAGGGAGGGAGGCGGGCACCAGACGTGGTCCAGCTTGCCGGAGAGGGAAGGCAGTGGTCAGGGCTGGGACTGTCGTCACGGTGCGGAGGAGCTGTGGGAACTGGCCCTGGGTCTCTCATCTTGGCGCTAAAACAGAGACCCCCCCCCCCCAGCCCAGACCCTGAGGATACCCCCCTCCCCAACCTCCTCCATAGCAACTGGAAGCTGTGTATCCCTGCTGAGAGCTGAGTGGCAGAGCGAGAAGGATGTACCTGGTAGTGTGACTCTCCGCGAGGCTCAAGCCGACTGAGGCTCCAGCCCAGAGAAGCTCCAGGTCAGAGAGCCTCCAGCCCAGAGGGGCTCAAACTCAGAGAAACACCAGCAGGACCAGGATCCGGGACCGAGCAGGACACGAAGGCAGACATGCCGTTCGGGGGGCTGTCGGCGCTGAAGGAGCGAGTGCTCAATCCGGGGAAGGAGGAGGCGAAGAACATCATGAGCGACTCGCTGGGACACCTGCAAAGGTAGGGGGGGACGCAGGGGGCTCCCAACACTGCCAGCTCAATCTGCTAACTGGGAACACTGGGTACACTGGAAACCCGAACTGGCTGGGTGCTCAAGCATTTCACAGGAAATGGAGGTGTTGTGTTTTCGATCAAATTTCAGCTCTAGCCGCATCTTCTACGTGTCATAGTGAGAATCCAGCTGTTTTAAAAAGTAACTTCAACTGGATTGGATCTTTGCGGTTATTATGAGGCCACAGATAAAGCATCATGAAATGCCTTTTAATATTAAGCCCGGATATAGAATGCAGAGTCCTTTCCAAATACATACGCATCACATCCAGAGCAGGTTGAGTTACAGGTGATGTGATCTAATGTTTTATGGAAACATGCTTTCTGGTGCATATTTCATAAGGAGCAGATAAATATAGAAGGACGAGATCTTGGTTTCAGAGGTGGACAGCAGAACCTCGTACATCCCCAGGACGATAAACACAGGGGCTCACAGGACAGACAAGAACCACCTGAACTGGTCCTCATCTTAAGGAGAATGTCAGTATATAAATAGTTCTGTGTATTTCTGATCATACACATTTGACACCTAAACATATAAATTTTCAAATAAAAGGTTGCAAGTTTAAGGAACATTTATGATTTGTGACATTAAAAAGCAAAGCAAAACTGATGCAGGACAATGAATATGTTAAAAATGTAAAGGTGTGAAAAAAGCTGGAATCGTGAGCATTTTATTACTGCGCTAGAGAATAATAATGTTCATGAAAACTGTATGACTATTTTATGGGCATTAGTGCTATAAAAACACATGAATATTTAGTGCAGCTTTGTACTGATTGCAGTGTGCATTCAGAGGTCCTGGTCCTGTGCAGTGTGCATTCAGAGGTCCTGGTCCTGTGCACTGCTCACCCTCTTTCTGCTGGGTCTCAAGCCCAATAGTCATTCATTTTCATCCCACTTTATGCTCCCGTCTTTTACTCATTGTGTTCCTGTTTTAATTTGTGACTTGCGCAAGTTAGTAGTTTTTTAATGTTTTTTTAAATCAGCCTCACAATGTAAACAAATTTCATCCAGTTTTTATGCGTTAATCACACCGTCTTCCATCCATCTTCACGAAAAAAACTTAATGAGTCATCAGCTTCGTACCAAAATAACCTGTTCCATCTGGCTTATCAGCGTATCACCTTCATTAAGGTCTGCAGCACAAATTACTCGGCCTCAGCTATCTTCACAAACTCCTCAGCTTCCTCCAGCTTCACGGCCCAAACACCTCAGCTCCCTCCAGCTTCACGGCACGAACACCTCAGCTTCATGGAACCTCAAACCATGAAGCTCTCACTTTCGTTTCAGCTTCACACTAGGAACGCCTCCCCTTCACCCTGCTTCACTGCAAAAACCCCTCAGTATCACTCAACTGCACAAACCCCTCAGCTTCACCGAGACTCAAACCACGAAGCCCTCAGCTTCGTTTCAGCTTCACAGCACAAACATCTCAGCTTCATTCAAGTTTCACGTCCCCATTATTCCACTGGCGCAAACCGGCCCCTCCCAACAGTGCAATGTCACCGCCAGCGTGCGTCACTGACACCTCATTTAAATGTATCCCCCGTTTATCTGCAAAGATCAGCTCTTTTAGATGAGTGATTAAAATTGTATGAAAACGTTTATGAATAAGCTTACCGCTCCAGATCAGATCAGTTTAATGTCGGGCTAAGAGGACGTGTTAATTTGTCTGCAACTCTGAATAGCAACGCCGCCCTTTTCTGGAATTACCGTGAAATGAAGCCCATCGCGGTGGGCAGAACAGCAGCCAGTGTGTCAGCCCAGTACCGAATTAGAGCAGGTAGCACCACCTGTGTAAAGCACTGCAAGACCCAGATGTGTTTTTCTTGGTGTCGTTGATCGCCAGCCACGTCTAAGCATTAACCAGCAAACATGCAGCAAATGGCAAAACGTCTGTGTGCATGCGCAGTACTGTGCAGAAGTCTTGGACAGTCAAAGAAAATGTTTATGGATATTTATCTGGATAAGTGCATATTTGTTCGGGAAAAAAACAGTTTAACATTAGAACATAAGCAAATTAAGAATAGCACAATAAAAACAACAGGAATTTCTCCAGTTCTCCAAAAACTTCCAGATATCTGGTTGGGCGGCTAGATGAACATGGATTCTCAGGGGCACCCCAGACATTCCGTGTATTCGTTAGACGTCACCACCAGCTCAATTAATTAATTCACTTAATCAGTTAAATAACTCACAGGTCCTAAGTACTGAAACATGGTGGGGTAGTTGATGAGTCAAAAAATAAACGTGTATGTTGGACGGTTGCTGCAAATACTGGGCTGATTTTAAACATTATTTTCTATGACTGCCTAAGACTTTTACACAGTACTGTATGTCTGGGATGTGTGTGTGCAGCGGTGTGTGTGACAGAGAGACGGGGAGCTGGCTAATGGCTCTCTTGTTTGATGTTAGTTGCACAGCTGTCAGGCAAGTCGAAGTCCTGCATTCATCCGACATTAAAGAGGCTGGTGTGGAGCCGCGGTGGAGATCGCCAGGGAGCGCAGGTGTAGACAAACAGCGCAAAGACGAATCGTCTGCAACAAAAGCGCTCTGAGTCGAAGCGAAGTGCGCCGGCTCCCTGCCGCATTGTTTACGGAATGACGTTAATGGACTGCTGTAGTCTGGTGGTGTGGTGCTCTTAAGTGCTGTAACTTCCTGATCTGCGACACTGGCACAGAACACCGGGGGGTAACAGGACGCCGTGACATCGGCCCCTAACGACGGAGCGACATGCGGCGGATACGCGCGGGTAACTGTCAGCGCGGGAGAATAGCGGCGGCTGTAAATACTCTATGACAGCGAAAAGCTCATTTATTTTTAATTGGAAACACGCAGTCCCTGGCAGTGCCCGTGTTCCAAACTTTTCTCGGAAGCTGCTTCACATGTCTGAAGCGTTTTTCTCTCTTCTGGATCTGGCTGTGTGTCTTAGTGACTTTGCTAGTCGGTTTTTTTTTACATGGTAGAGCAGCTCAGTGCGAAAGGCTGGGATACCCCACGTGTTCGGATGCCTTTTTTTTTTTTTACTGATCTTACTAATCTCATATAAAATTGGTAAACCTTCCCAACAATGCAACCTATGCTACGTTACATATATCCAAAGTGGGCACTTTATTAAATACACTGGTTTTCCTCCAAAAATCCAGTCTTGTGGCTGCAAAATGAATGCACACAAAATGCACTGGAGAGGCTCATTTACTATTGGACTAAATCATGCTGCACATGGCCATTCCAGAACCTCACAAGCAGCCACCTGCAGTCAGCATCATTTCTGTAGGGAGATACACCTTCAGCCATGTTGGTCCTCAGCACCGATACAGGGAGTGGCTCAGTGTGTCCACACAACGAGGTCAAAACAAGACCACACCTTCTCTGCCATTCTGGCCTTGTGCGGTTGTCACTCTGCAGCTGTACCACGCCCGTCCTGAGCATGGTGAGGCTCTCAGGCCCACGTGACCAGCATTAACACATAGACTATCCTAGTTAATATCCAAAGACCCTGGCTCTGGAAAAATGAAACAGTGCGAGTTATTAAATCTGGCCAATCGATCGGCCAGCATCTAATTACTGATGTGTTGTTTTTCATTTTTTCACTTTTGGCCTAAAAAATAGCATAAGTGACAGGCTGGGGGGGCTCGTATCCATGTCAGCCAAGACCCCCCCGGAGATGTTAATGCCGCACTGGGCACATCCCGTTTCAGGAAGATGGATGGCACCCACGCGGACGGGGAGGTGGAGATGGAGCTGTCGGCGGATGGGCAGCCGGTGCTGATGGAGAACCGCAGTGCCCCCATCTTCGACTGCGGTTGCTTCGGCCTGCCCAAGCGCTACATCATCGCCATCCTCTCGGGCCTGGGCTTCTGCATCTCCTTCGGCATCCGCTGCAACCTGGGCGTGGCCATAGTGGAGATGGTCAACAACAACACAATCTACATCAACGGCACAGCCGTCATGAGGGTGGGCAAGCGGGCTGGTCCACGTGTGAATCGGGGGGGGGGGGGTTCCGTGTGTTTTATATACTGCTTTGGCACCATGAGCGTCTCGTACATTTTGTGGTCCCTGCGAAGGCCATTACTCAGCAGATCAATGTGCATTGATGTTCGTTTGACTCCATCCCCAGCCAGCACAGTTCAACTGGGACCCGGAAACGGTGGGACTGATCCACGGTTCCTTCTTCTGGGGCTACATCGTCACGCAGATCCCTGGGGGCTTCATCTCCAACAAGCTGGCGGCTAACCGGTGAGCGCCGAGCCACGTCGAAGCAGTGATGCGGCCGGCGGCTTGCAAGGTCACCAGGCGGGTGCCTGATCTCGCACTCGAAGCTCTCAGTCGCGTTGGCAGCGAAATGTCATCCGCCGCATTCCCAAACACGACATGCTTCGTAAACAGCCTGTTTCGCTTGAAACGGGAGATGAACTTCCGGCTTGGGAGGAAGGATGAAACGCTCTGGGGCAGAGAAAGCGGAAATATCTCTGTGTTCGTCAACAAGCTTGTGGCTGCAGCATAGTTGAAATTTAATGTTTAATTTGTTTAGCAAACGCTTTTATCCAAATTGACGTACATTTATTGAGAAAGCAGGGTCAGCCAGTGCCTGAAGTGCCTGGGGTTAAGGACGTTATTAAAAAGCCCCAACAGTGAAATCACACCGCTGACTCCGGGATTTGAACCGACAACCTTCCGATAACAGCCAAAACATCCTAACTTGCCGAGTATAAAGACATGAGTTAAGGGGGCCGCCAAGTGGGGAGGGTTAATGAGCCCAAGGGGGCGTCGGCTTGCGAGCCGGACATGGGCTTGTAATAAAAGCTTCACAGGAGAGCGAGCCTCTGACAGAGTTAATAATTAAAGATCCAGACTCTGATTTCTCTCCTGGAAACTCCATGCCCCGGAATATTACAAGTGTCACTTACAGCTGGCAGAACTGGGGAGCTGAAGGTGGGACCAAGGAGGAGAACCCAGCCATGGTGGCTCAGTGGGTTAGAGTGCTGTGAGCGGAAGGGTGCTGGTTCAAATCCCCTGGCTAACAGAGGGATTTTACTATTGAGGCCCTTAACTCTCAGTTGCTCCTGGGACTTGCTAACCCTGCTTTATCAAAAAATGTATGTCACTTTGTATAAAAGTGTTTGGTAAATAAATGAAATGTAAACCCAGGCTGATGCAGAATGGTGTGGGAGCTTTGAGTGTGACAAGAACTCCAATTAGCACTTAGTCATTCGCATATACATTTATTTGTTTATTTGGGAGGTCTTTGATCGAAGTCACTGACTGGTCAGTACAAATAATCAACTTGTTAAAGAGCGAGCAAAGATCGTCAACAAGAGTACATAGTCCGTAACTGAGTAGCGAGGTAAAAATAATTATTGTCTTTAACATGGAAGAGCTTTGAGATTTAATGACAATAGCTTTAGATCCAGGTAAGCAGGGAAATTAACATAAAAAACAACTTATTACAACACAGACATTCAAACTGTCTGGGGATTTCAGGATGCAATGAAAAATTCAGGACTGGAATGCTGACTCAGCTGTTTTAGCAGGACTCCCTGTGTGGCGGTGACTCTGTGTAGCAAGATTTTGAAGTGACTCATGATTCATGAGTCTGTGTGTGTCCTCCATGTAACTGATAAAGGTGGGATTCACTGTGTTAGAGGGACGCGATGTAATGATCTTCTCTGTCACTCCCATCTGCAGGGTTTTCGGGGCAGCCATTGTCCTGACTTCCATGCTCAACATGTTAATCCCATCTGCGGCAAGGGTCCACGTTGGCTGTGTCATGTGCGTGCGCATCTTGCAGGGCTTGGTGGAGGTCAGTGCTGCCTCCCTGCTTCGCCCCCTAGTGGGCCACCTCTGGAACTGCATGCAGGACCCAGGTCCTAGAGTTGCAGCAATAATAGCCTCACATCTGCCTGACAGGGAGTGACCTACCCAGCATGCCACGGGATGTGGAGTAAGTGGGCGCCACCGCTGGAGAGAAGCAGGTTGGCGACTACTTCCTTCTGTGGTGAGTCTCCATATAAGTCTCGCCTCCCCCTACTGGTTGGAGGTTGCTATTGCAATGCCAGTGGCAGATTATGAATGTTAATATGATAATAAGATTATGAATGGTAATTGGTATAAAGGGAACATTAACTGCTTTTTTTCAGCTGTATTGCTCCTCTTTTTAAAGAAGGTTTGCTTTTTTATTCTACAAAGACGCCCAGGAAATTTATCCTCCGAAAAAGATTTTGCACAATTCAAGTAAATTAACACATCGCAGAACCTACTGAACTTTTGCCAAATGTTTCAGTGCAGAAATGTTCCATAATAATAGCAATGCAATATTAATTTCAATAGTTTTTCACATATAACTGCATCTCATTAAAATCGTATTAATTTGGAGCATTTTAAGCAAATAAGGCCCAAAATAGATAGAGTAAAAAATAAAGACTGACCCTGCAATCCCCTCTCAGTAACAGTCCCTTGTCTGTGTCCATCAAGACCTTCTATTCAGAGAGCGATCCTGCTTTTCCAGGTAAAGCCCCAGTTGTTAGCTAAATGACTCACTAGCTTAGCGGCTGCTAGCCACTGTTTCTACAGCTCGCATTTGAAACGGCGGGTTTTTAATATTAAACAAGCACCATGACAACCTGGACTGTAGACGCCTCTCTGCATGCATTCTGAATGACGACGGCTGCTACGCTATTCAGCGGCCGGGCGGCTCGTGCATCTGTGGTCGCAGACAGAGCGTCACATTACCCCCGCCACACAGTGCCCCCAACCTGTGGCCTAATTTACATAATAGGGGCGGTGACATTACTAAAAGGCCCTGACTCAGCGCTGGTGTCTCCATGCTACTCTTTGCGCTCGTACTACCAGCCGAGACTATAAAGTGGCATTAAGATAAATGTTATTTTTCAATTCTGCACGTTAACATATGTGGAACGTGTCATGTGACCCAGGCTACTCTGATTTCCCAGGATCCTATGCAGGTGCTGTGATTGCCATGCCACTTGCGGGTGTCCTGGTGCAGTATGTGGGCTGGTCTTCCGTCTTTTACATCTATGGTAAGGTTCAGGCTATCTGGGGCTTGACATTTAGCAGCTCTGGGCACCTGTCTGGAGAGAGCAGAAGTCCCTTTTGTCTGGTGTTTTCACCCTCGTATTTAGTCATTCTCGAGGGTCAAAGGTCCCTCAAATGTCCTGCAGACCCAAAGATCTCGGGAAGCTGTTGCCCCGCAGTGTCAGTCTCACGCAGGAAGCGGCGTCTTTAATGCAGGCGAGAAGCGCGGAGGTTCTCCCTGCCATGATGAGCCACTTGGCAGCTGAATGAAATTAGAGGGCTGGCAAATTGAGATGCACAGATAAACCTGACGGCTGAGAATAATGGCGATATACAGGGTTTCGTTGAAAAGGAAATTATCGCAGATAAGGCTTTTTATTAACCTGAGGTGGGGACACCTGCAGTGGGTGGGGGGGTACACTTCATACATGGCTGCATTTTCCCAACATGCCGCTGCTGGAGGTTTGCAGTTTTGTTATGATGCTCTATTAGCGGCTATGCTATGGGATTGGTGTAATTATTTTAAACAATGCTCTGCATTAAAGGCCAACTGCCTTAGAGGACATCTGGTCCACTAATGTGTCATATTCCATTTAGCACGGTTGTCTTGCTGTTGCCGAAAAACAGTCCTCAAACGGTGACCATGTGGCTTGGATGTGCTTTCTGGAGCCGTCTGCAGCCTTAACTTTCACTTCCTGCCTGCAGGTGTTTTCGGGATGATATGGTACATCTTCTGGCTCCTGCTGGCCTACACAAGTCCAGCCGACCATCCCACCATTAGTGAGGAGGAGAGGATCTACATCGAGACCAGCATCGGTGAGGGGGCCAAACTGCTCAGTGCCACTGAGGTGCGTGAGAGCCGCTCCCCGCCCTGCCATCTGCTCGACCCCAACGCCGTGCTCCTCCTCAGCCGCTCTCCCTTTACAGAAGTTTAAGACGCCGTGGAGACGCTTCTTCACTTCCATGCCCGTCTACGCTATCATCGTGGCCAACTTCTGCCGGAGCTGGACCTTCTACCTGCTGCTGATCAGCCAGCCTGCGTATTTTGAGGAGGTGTTTGGCTTCCCCATCAGCAAGGTGGGCAGGCAGAGGAGGGAAGATGCATAGTAGTGAGGGACACATTGCTGCACTTCTGACAGGCAGGGAGAGCCAAGCAACTGACAGGCAGACAGGGCTGCAACACTGACAGACAGGGAGAGCCAAGCAACTGACAGGACTGCAGAAATAACTGACAAACAGACAGGGTTGCAACACTGACAGGCAGGGTCAGCCAAACAACTGACACACACACAGGACTGCAACACTGACAGACAGGCAGAGCCAAGCAACTGACAGATAGACAGGGTTGCACCACTGACAGACAGGGACAGCCAAACAACCGACAAGCAGACGAGGCAGCAACACTAGCAAACAGGGAGAGCCAAGCAACTTACAGACAGACAGGGCTGCAACACAGACAGACAGGGAAATCAAAAACCTAACAGGCAGACAGGGCTGCACCAATGACAGACAGATACAGCCAGATGACTGACAGAAAAATATGGATGCTGCACCTATGTTCAGGTATAGACAAACTGACAAACAGACAGACAGGGCTGCACCACAGACAGACCATTGGAGAGCACTACTCTGCAGATCTCAGATAAAAGGTTCCACTGGGTTATATTCCTCTCAAGCAGCTGTATTGCATGGCAGTGAAATTGACTCCTGCATAAATATGTGTTAAGTGTGTATCAGCCAGTATCTGAGGTGCTCTGCCCTTCCAGCTGGCACTGAGTGTGTGTTAGTGGGAAATGGTCCCATCCCTGTGCTGCTGTATTTGAGTAGCCTGCCAGTTTGCCTACTGTTGTCTTTGCACAGGTAGGTGTCCTGTCAGCCCTTCCCCACATGGTGATGACCATCATCGTGCCCATTGGCGGGCAACTGGCTGACTTCCTGAGGAGTCGCAAGATCCTTTCCACGACAACCGTGCGAAAAATCATGAACTGTGGCGGTACGGGCCGATTGTGTGCATGGCGTGTTCTCCCATGAGGGTGATGTGGCGAGGCCCTCCCTCCCTCTCTTGACATGCCCGTGTTTGCAGGCTTCGGCATGGAAGCCACACTGCTGCTGGTGGTGGGCTTCTCCCACACGCGAGGCGTCGCCATCTCCTTCCTGGTGCTGGCTGTGGGCTTCAGCGGCTTCGCCATCTCAGGTGAGATGCACCGTGAGGCAACATTGTTTGTTACGGATCAGCACTGGCTGCCAAGCCAATCACAAATGCATAACCAGCCATCAGATGCATCAGCTACTGTTGAACACATCACCTTCAGTCGAACACATCACCATCAATCAGACACATCACCTTCAATCAAACTCATCAACATCAATCAAACTCGTCATAACCCATAAAACTCACCACCACTCAACAAACCAATCCCAGGCGTCAAACTCATCACCAACCATCAAACTCATCACCAAATGTCAATGAGTAATGAATGAAGGTTCAGGATGGTGAGAAAAGTCTTGCATTAGGTTCTTTTTGTCTTGACCACAGGGTTCAACGTCAACCACCTTGACATCGCCCCGCGCTATGCCAGCATCCTCATGGGCATCAGCAATGGCGTGGGCACCTTGTCAGGCATGGTGTGCCCACTCATAGTTGGGGCTCTGACCAAACACAAGGTGGGGATCTTGCTTTCTTTAACAGCTTGTTTTCCCCTATGAGTGTGTATAGGATACAACAGGGTTCTTCAACTCTGGACCTCGATTCCAAATCCAGGCCGTGTTTTCAGTTCTCCCAGGTAGTTGTTTAATAATTACTGATTCTGATTGGTCAGAGGCTTCACACCTGACTGACAGGTAAAGGAAGGCTGGAAAACCAGCAGTGCTCGGACCTCGAGGACCGTGAGTTGAATAACCCTGGGATACAATGTCTAAAGATGGAAGATTGAACACAGCATATTTTATTTGGTTAATTCCTCATCAGTAGCCAACAACAGCATAAGCTGAAAATGCTAAACACTCAAAGTTAACTGGGTGTAAGCTTCATATTATAGCACGTTAGCATAGCTGTGAAACAAGACATGAATGTGAAGCTCTGGGTAGATCTCATTGGCAGTAGAAGCTGTCCGACAACTCCTGTCTCCACCCCTCTGTTCCTGGTTGGCCCACAGACCCGGCAGGAGTGGCAGAACGTGTTCGTGATCGCTGCCGTCGTCCACTACACCGGCGTCATCTTCTACGGCATCTTTGCCTCTGGGGAGAAACAGGACTGGGCGGATCCTGAGGACACAAGTGATGACAAGTGTGGCATCCTGGACGAGGACGAGCTGGCTGAGGAGACGGAGCTCACCAGCGAAACCAATCTCAGCCAGAGTAAGAAGATGTCGTACGGTGCCACCACCGACAACTCCTCGCACAAGCAGAGCTGGCGGAACGATGGCAGCGACTCGTACCACCAGGAGAATGGAAACCACTAAGACGACGCCCAGTGAGGCTACCCCCTCAGCCCGGACCCCCCTGTGCTCTTGAGGGACACTTCTGCAGGACTGGTTCCCCATAAACTTGTACCGGAAGTTGTCTTACACTGTGGGTGAACGAGGGAAAAATGGCCAAAACCTTCCCAGGACCATTAGCTTCTCTTGTTCCCTCCCAACATGGGCCCATGACCACAGACTGGACATCAGCATGGCCCAGGGGAGGCTGAACAAGAGCATCATCATTTAGTCTGTCTACATTTGGTGGGAAACAAACTCTGAAGACCAGTAGTGCAAAATCAGAGAAAGGATAGCTTTCGGTAAAACAGAGAAAATTAACGTTGTTCAGCAAATCAAAATAACTTGCATATTCCCACCCTAATTTAGCATAAAACAGCTGAAATTATGTGGCATTATTAGATATCAGTAGTACGTACCTGTTTAGAGTGGTCAAGGAGTCACTGTATGTCATGTGATATCTATTTGTTGAGTATGGTTGCAAAGGCATGGGTGACCTGACTAAAAACATACTTCATGCAAGAACAACATGTAATGAATACTGTGACTCTCATACCTGATCTACTAGACTATAGAATTAGTTCTGCTGATTCCCCCAGCCTATAGAAACAGGCCTGCTGATCCTGCAGCCTATAGAAGTAGCACTGCTGATTCCACAGCCTATAGAAACAGGCCTGCTGATCCAGCAGCCTATAGAAGTAATTCTGCTGATTCCCCAGCCTATATAAAAAGCTACAGTAATTCCTAGCATAGAAAAGTAATTGGTCTCCCTGCGCTGTTTATTTCGTTATAGCAGTTGCTTCTTTCAGTTTGTGGGACGTTCAGCAGTAAAATTGTATAGAACAGTATGAAACATTCCACAGTATTTTTCCTCATGTTAAAAACAAAATCATTCTCAAGAGGAGCCATTTAAAAATACATATCTTTGTTCATTATTTTAAAAAACAGTGGTTCAAGCAATGAATTCTGACCCAAACATATAACAACTGAGATAATTTTAAACAGATCACTGAAAATCAGATGTACAGGAAATATTTACATGTTTATTGCCCTGTTGGTTAATGAGTTTATTTGATGTGATTTACTGTTTGCCAACTTTTTGCCTTTATTTTTCCTGACAGTCTTTGTGGTAGAGGAGAGGACATCCAAGTATTTGGTGAATTTGCAATGCTGTTTGACCTCAAACACCCTCTGGTTTCACATCATTTTTGCCCTCAAACTGTCCTCTCGTCAGAAACCTTTAACATGAAGAGTGAAATCTGTCATTTGTGGTTCTTGATTAAATGGGAAATAAACGCACAGTATCAGTGTCACTGTTACGGCAATCTAACCTGGGTGCTGCTGTTCCAGGATCAGTTTTGTCGCATGGATAAATGGTACAGAGCAGGAGCTCACTTGATGCTTCAGTTGTGTTGCAAATGAACAAATTTTTATTTATATAAATATATAGAAATCCTGTGGAGTGAGATATGCTCTGGACGGTCTGGAGCAAACGGGATCTGCAGAACCTCACAGTCACACGACAGAACAATGCAACAATGCATCTTCTGCATCTGGTTGCATCTTCTGCGATCTGGTTCCCTGCGCCACTCTTCCCATGACCCCTGCAGCGGGGAGGTCAACAGACACATGATTTTCCCAGATATGAAAGGCAGCAGCCAGTGACGGCTCATGTCTCATCAGTAGGAGGAAAGATAAGGGAGATCAACATGGACGGCTGACAATATAATAAGACAGAAACCGTTTATCGACAGAAGCGCAGATCAGTGCGGACGTACAGATCATCACTGACACACTCATGATACGAAAACCTGGCGGTGAACAACAAGGCCGATAAACTAGATTTGGCTGGGGCTGCCCACAGGTCCAAAACACCCCTTTGTTCTGGTCGGTTCCGTAACCTTGATAACCTTGCATCCTCATGACACAACTTAACTGCACACTACATAAGGTGTTCAGGGTATGTTGGTGGCAGCAAACACCTGGACACAGCTACAGTAGTGCTGGCAATACAAATGTAGGGCGCCAGATGTTTCATGTCCATTGGGATGGCAGGACGTTGAAGAGAAGCCTGCGGTCAAGGTGCAAGTTGGGTCCTTTGTTGTTGATATCTACAGGTCTTTAATTTGTCCTGTAGGAATTGCTCCCTGGTACAGCTGCTGGGGACTGGAGTACAAGTCATATCAACCCTCTGATTGGCTGGTTGACAGTGACATCACTCCTTCAATCAGTGCTCAGCTCACCCACACGCCAAACAGTGTGATGCTCCTAGAGATAAGAACAGGGCTGCAATTTGATGGCAAACCTTCCTGCCCATTTTCAGACCTCGATCGTGGCATGTTTTTTTGCGCCAGTGAAGCAGATTCGCCTGGAATGTTCCCCCTGATTTTTGTGGCACGTCAGAAATGTAGAGCGCCCCCTGCTGGCACCTCCTAGAGGAACCTGCACCCTTTTATCCCTCTAACCTGGCGTCAGTTTTGCCGGTGGCTCCTCCATGGCATGACGGCCATGCGGTGCATTGAGCAGAGAGCCTGTCAGTTCCCAACCCATACGTACTCCCATCTCCCATTACAAAATAATTCTATTATTTCACAAACACTGCCAATCTGCCTGCTGCATATTAGGTGTGTGACTCTCGTCCGTTCCTATTAGATTCCTGGCCCACACACACCATCTCATCTGCAGGATAAATCAGCTCCAAGATTCCTCAGCCATCTAATAACCCCTGAGCTGAGTGTGTATTTAGACTGTGTTTATTTCGAATGAGGCCGTTCACTGGAATTTAACTCTTCTAGTGAAGTCCTCCCAGAGCATCAGACGCAGCAGATTATACCACTGACAGGTGTTGTGGAGAAGTACACCCAAATACTGGAGAGAGATACTGGCTAGTCCTGGTTCTAGTAGGCGTGGTTGGGGTGGGGGGTTCACACATGCTACACGCATGACGGATTATGTTCCCCCCCCGACGCCTGGCTGAACTCCATGCCCGGTTCGTCCTGGCTGAGACGCTGATCTGGGTCGCACGGTAATTCCACTCCTCTTGCGGGCCAGTCGTGACGGAGTGTGGCTCCGTCCGGAGCTTGTTAGTGCCCCCTCCCCCCCCCACCTCCCCGCCCCATCAGCTCAGATTCCCTCTCATCTTACCGCCAAATTAGGCCAAGGGAACCAGATCTGGCCACACCATGCATTGTTAATGGCCGTTATTGTAACAAAGCCCCAGTGGAAGAATGTGTAATTACCTGTCCTGCAGGTAGCAGGACCCAACGGAGGGCTGTCCTGCCTGTGCCTGCGATGAAGAGACCTTCATCCCTCTGCTTCAGGATCACCTGCTTCTTATTAGCATTATTATTATATAATAAATAATAATAATAATAATAACATCAACAACAATTAGAAAAATATATCACTAATATGGTAAAATTACTATATATATATATATGTTATCTTTAATGAAAATATATTTATAATTACTGATATTATTATGTGTATTTACATGGCAGACACCACTTGGTAACCATGTAATTTTTCTGCAATCTTTAAGTCTTTAGATTATTTGTTTTTTACAGTACAGAGCATTTGGTATACTTACATTAAGGAATTAAAAAACATAATTAAATTCTACCTGCAGTAATGTTACCCAGGATGATTTGTCACCCCTCAGGTTGGCCCATACCCACAATGCCCTGCTCACGCACCTGCACCAGCGCGTTGGCCAAAGGGGGTGGCGGGGAGCAGGTGCTAGCCGGTCTGAGCGTGCGGAATGACACCGACACGCCTGATCTTATGCATTAATCATGTGTCACTCATTAACCACCAGTTAATAATATTTATCAATACCGTGGAATAATCTTTTATTTGATTTTACAGGTGTTCGTGGCAGACTGGGGCATTTTTGGGACACTTTCGGCACCATACACTGTGTGAAGGACAAGGTCTAGGTTAAGTTCCAAGTCACAGATAGGTTTAAGCTTCAGATCAAGGTCACATTTATGGTTAAAGTTAAGATTAATGTAAGGCTGGCTAAAATTTTTAGATCTCGCAGATCATTTCCAGATCACATGATGGGTGGCACGAACGCATCCTGAAATGTTCATACAAGTCTCTTGTGTATTTTTCCGTACCTATTTTTCTTCTATTATTGTTTGCAATCATTATACAAAGAAGCTTTTAAGAAATAGCATTTTCCACACTATAACGGTTCAATAAAGTCAGCCAGTTACTACAGCATATTATTTGAAGAAAAGCAAAGATTGTAGCACTGAATTTATTTTCATTCATACAACAGGACACAAACATCCACACTGTGGATGTATTTGTGAAGCATGCAGACATATTTCTGTATTACTCTCTCTAATTATGTTTAATGTATTACAACATATCCATGTAAGGCGCCTTGGGAGAACTCTGTTGTGAAAGGCACTATATAAAAATAAATTGAATTGAATTGATTAGACACATTAGGTGATGGCCTCACAGAGACGCACTGTTTAGGTTTTACAGAATGGTGATTAGGGGACTGAGGGTTTGAACTTGTAGTTCATCCATGACCTTCCATTGCCACTACAGTACAGAGACTCAGGGAGCCCGGATTTTATCCCAGGGACACTGTGGACAGAATGCAAGCTCTTCGCAGGGTTCCCACTACAGGAAAACCCCCAAACTCTGGACAATGTGCAAACTCTACACAGACAGAGCAGGGACGGGATTAAAACCCGCTCAGCCAGAGGTGTGATGCCACTATACCACCCTGCCGATGGCTCAAGCAGGCAGTGAGGGCGGGGCGTCATATGTCCAGCATATCGTGCGAATGTGGAAAACAGCCCCCCCCGGCCTTTATCGCCTGAATGCTGCTGCTGTGGCAGTGCTTGAGAATGAGGGAAGCCAACAAGCATCAGGAAATTAACCTGGAAACATCGGCAAATGCAAAGCTGCCTGTCAAGCCCACAAGCAAGGCTCTGATTCCATGTGGATATAGATATTCTGCCATTATAGACTAGCACACACTTTTATATGTATAGATATTCTGCCTTTATAGATTAGCACATATGTATAGACATGTAAAAGTATGTGCTATTCTATAAGGCTAGAATATCTATATACATATAAAACTATTCTGTGCTTCTAGATTTATAGATACTTTTGCAGCATATGTATATAGATATTCAAATGTTATAGATTAGCACACACTTTTAGATAGATAGATAGATAGATAGATAGATAGATAGATAGATAGATATTCTGTCCTTATAGATTAGCACACATTTACACGATATGCAAGCAGAATGTGTTGCTAAATAAAGAGTTATTTGGGAAATGACCAGTGAGATGTTTAAATTTACACAGCACACCCTCCTGCAGAAAAGCACTTGTTTTTGATACTCATACTCAAGAGCTATCACCTGGCTGGGGGGGGGGGGTGCAGAGGGGAGGCCCCTTCACGTGCGGCCCCCCCAAGGGAGCTGAGTGAATGTGCTGCTGTCTCTGTCAGAGGCCCTGCCTTTGTTGTTTGGAATGAAAGCAGAGCATTGTTGGGAGACAGGAGATTGCCTGTGTGTGTGTGTGTGCGCGCGTATATTATGTTTATATTACATTGTGGGGACTAAATGGCCCCCACAATGTGATACAAAGCTGTTATTTTGATGTTGTGGGGAACCATTTTCAAGTCCCCACAAAGATCTCTGAATGCAATCAAAAATGCCAAAAGTCTCACAATTCATTTGATTACTTATGGTTAAGGTTAGGGCTGGGTAGGGCTTAAGGTCATCATCTTGGGACTAGAGCCTTCCCCATAGGAGTGAATGGAAAGTCCACACAAAGATATAATTACAAACCTGCGTGTGTGTGTGTGTGTGTGCTTTGTAATTATTACATTGTGTACTTATTACAATGTGACAAAAACATACAACTTTGTACCTAGTGGGGACATATCTTCAGTCCCCACAAGGATAACCTCAATTTTATAAAATTCCGTGACTGCAATCACAGACTGCAAAAACTAAAAATGCCAAAAGACTTGTGTTTTGTTTGGTGACTTGTGGTTAAGGTTAGGGCTAGGTTAAGGTTTCTCATAGCTGGGCTTAGAGTGAGCCCATAGAAAAGAATGGGGAGCCCCATAAAGATATCAATATATGGGTAGGTGTGTAGATAGGATGTGTGTGTGTGTGTGTGTGTGTGTGTGTGTGTGTGTTTGTGAAGAGGGCATCCTGGCAGTCCAGACTCTGGGAGGTCGTGTTGCTTATGAATTCTGCATCAGGGACCCATTAATATTGCACACGGAGCACGTTTACACC